CGTAGATTTACCACGCGTGAAATTATCACGCGCTGAATTACCACGCGTGGAGTTACCATGCGTGGAATTTCCACGCGCCGAATTACCACGCGTGGAATTACCACGTGTGGAATTACCTCGCGTGGAATTACCACGCGCTGAATCACCACGCGTGGAATTACCACGCGCTGAATTACCACGCGTGGAGTTACCATGCGCTGAGTCATCACGCGTAGATTTACCACGCGTGAAATTACCACGCGCTGAATTAACACGCGTGGAGTTACCATGCACTGAGTCATCACGCGTAGAATTACCACGCGTAGAATTACCACGCGTAGAATTACCACGCGTTGGATTACCACACGTTGCATTACTACCACGCGCTGAATCACCATTTGCTAAATCCCAGCGTATAGAAATCCCACGCGCATAAAAATATAAGATAGTATGAAAAATGGATGCAGCTCCACGTCGCGCATGACCTTGTTCCGCAGATCAATTAACCTCGAGTTAACCTCGTTATCAGTATCTCCGTCTAGACGCAAAGTTCATCTGGCAACGACGGGCGAATATAAAATAAATTAGAATTAAATTAAGAGATATGCACTGGTTGTCCAATGGACGATAAAAATTAATCATAGAATATGAACTGTGATAGAATTCCGATAATATGACATACGATGGTTCAATATTAATGAAATGATAGGAGACGGGACAATGAAAATGTATTCTATTTGATGATCAATTACATGAGTAATTATCGGAGTCGTATTGTGCTAATTAATAATATTATAAATTCATTTGGAAGTATGATATTCTATGGCAGCGTTGCGGCGAGACGTGTATACAAAATGGAAGCCACATAATGGTACTTCGAACAATGGGTGTATTATGATGTGCAAACAATGTGACTGAACACCATAATATTATTAACAGGAGATTTAGCTTGCCTCGTAACGTAAATTCAAGTACTGTATTAAATATTTCAATCGAAATGCATTTACCTTCGTCTGTGCGTATACTAAAAATTAAAATATAAAAAAATGTAATTTACTGAATTATATCCGTTACAATTATAATTAAATTATTATCACTGCTCTTGAAGAAATTGTATAAAATTCATGAGGTTATCAAAGAATTCTTATTAAATATTCATCTATAGAACGCGATAACAGTACAACGAAATTTCTGAGAATAAAGCAGTTAACAAGGAAGTCGATTTAGCATAAAAACCATAAAAATGTTGGTAACCCATCTTCACCGGCATGTAATAAATCTGCCAGCTCGGTACATTCAATGAAGGGGTTATAGTGGACATTCGAAACCTTTGCCTCGCAATGCACGTATCCGCGTACAGCTACGTTTTGTGCATTTCAAGGAGTTCCTGGACGGTTTTCAAAGAAAAAAAACCACCGGTAATACTTTCGAAAAGAGGACAATCGCTTGGCAAATTCGTACACCCTTCATTGTTCCCATATATTTATAGTCTTCAACGATGAATCGTTTCCTCAAATCGTTTCAAGCTCAATTAAATTAATACAAGGTTTATAAATCATGAACAATATGTGAGAGGAAGATATAGAATAAATATATTATACCAATACATTAGTAGATGGATAATACATTTTAACTGAAAGGGATATTAATAATTTTATTTTTATTGTACGGTCTTTTGATGCAGACTTGTGTCTAATTCGCAATCTTGCCAAACTTCGATTAATTCGTGTTGTGTGAAACTTAAATTGCGTCAGAATAGAATCATGCCAGATTTCAATTATGGAAATCACGTCGACTTTGAATTGCATGGAAATTACATTGAATTTGAATCGTGCGGAATTGTGTCAGATTCGAAATCGAAATGAAATCAATCGCCTCTAATTCGAATCACATTCGCGCCAAATCTACGCGCGGTGATTCAGCGCGTGGTAATTCCACGCGTGGTAGTTCAGCGCGTGGTAATTCCACGCGTGGTAATTCCACGCGTGGTAACTCTACGCGTGGTAATTCCACGCGTGGTAATTCCACGCGTGGTAATTCGACGCGTGGTAACTCGACGCGTGGTAATTCGACGCATAGTAATTCCACGCGTGGTAACTCGACGCGTGGTAACTCAATGCATGGTAATTCCACGCGTGGTAACTCGACGCGTAGTAATTCCATGCGTGGTAATTCAGAGCGTAGAAATTCCACGCGTGATAATTCAGCGCGTAGAAATTCCACGCGTGGTAATTCAGCACGTAGTAATTCCATGCGTGGTAATTCAGAGCGTAGAAATTCCACGCGTGATAATTCAGCGCGTAGAAATTCCACGCGTGGTAATTCAGCACGTAGTAATTCCATGCGTGGTAATTCAGAGCGTAGAAATTCCACGCGTGATAATTCAGCGCGTAGAAATTCCACGCGTGGTAATTCAGCACGTAGTAATTCCATGCGTGGTAATTCAGAGCGTAGAAATTCCACGCGTGATAATTCAGCGCGTAGAAATTCCACGCGTGGTAATTCAGCACGTAGTAATTCCATGCGTGGTAATTCAGAGCGTAGAAATTCCACGCGTGATAATTCAGCGCGTAGAAATTCCACGCGTGGTAATTCAGCACGTAGTAATTCCATGCGTGGTAATTCAGAGCGTAGAAATTCCACGCGTGATAATTCAGCGCGTAGAAATTCCACGCGTGGTAATTCAGCACGTAGTAATTCCATGCGTGGTAATTCCACGCGTGGTAATTCCACGCGTGGTAATTCCACGCGTGGTAATTCCACGCGTGGTAATTCCACGCGTGGTAATTCCACGCGTGGTAATTCCACGCGTGGTAATTCCACGCGTGGTAATTCCACGCGTGGTAATTCCACGCGTGGTAATTCCACGCGTGGTAATTCCACGCGTGGTAATTCCACGCGTGGTAATTCCACGCGTGGTAATTCCACGCGTGGTAATTCCACGCGTGGTAATTCCACGCGTGGTAATTCCACGCGTGGTAATTCCACGCGTGGTAATTCCACGCGTGGTAATTCCACGCGTGGTAATTCCACGCGTGGTAATTCCACGCGTGGTAATTCCACGCGTGGTAATTCCACGCGTGGTAATTCCACGCGTGGTAATTCCACGCGTGGTAATTCCACGCGTGGTAATTCCACGCGTGGTAATTCCACGCGTGGTAATTCCACGCGTGGTAATTCCACGCGTGGTAATTCCACGCGTGGTAATTCCACGCGTGGTAATTCCACGCGTGGTAATTCCACGCGTGGTAATTCCACGCGTGGTAATTCCACGCGTGGTAATTCCACGCGTGGTAATTCCACGCGTGGTAATTCCACGCGTGGTAATTCCACGCGTGGTAATTCCACGCGTGGTAATTCCACGCGTGGTAATTCCACGCGTGGTAATTCCACGCGTGGTAATTCCACGCGTGGTAATTCCACGCGTGGTAATTCCACGCGTGGTAATTCCACGCGTGGTAGCGCGTGGTATCTCCACGCATGGTAATTCAGCGCGTGGTAACTCCACGCATGGTAATTCAGCGCGTGGTAATTCTATGCGTGGTGACTCAGCGCGTGGTAATTCCACACGTGGTAATTTAGCGCGTGGTAATTCCATGCGTGATATTTCAACGTGTCGTAATTCCACGCGTGGTAATTCAGCGCGTCGAAATTCCACGCGTGGTAATTCAGCGCGTCGAAATTCCACGCATGGTAATTCCTTATGAGTAAATCCTACGCATGGTGATACAACGTGTGGTGATTCGTATCACATCCCAACGTTGAACTCAAAGCAAACACCCCTTAGCGCCAAATGCAAATCGCATCGAAATACAATCAAACAACAAAGACATACTCCAATATCTCCAGCATAAACTGTCGAAGCTAATCCGGCCATCCACGACACTCGCAGAGATTCGATAACAAAAAATGTCAAGAAGAAAGAGCGGAGAAGAGCCTATCGAGAACTAAGAGAGCGAGAGAGAGAGAGGCTCATTGTACGAATAAGACCGATTGTGTCGTAGTAGGGTGGCACGTCGTTTTTCACGAACAATCGAACGCTCTCGTCTGACGCGGCGTGCGGCACTTCAATTCCAAAGAAATTGCGAAAACACAGCGCGTAAGAAGAGACTCGAGTGGCTCGAATGAATGTGCGAGAGAGAGTTGACGGATACGCTTTTGCGCGGATGTGTCAACGAAGCTGGCGAAGAAAAGCGACGGCAAGAAAGGGAGAGCGAAACGGAGCCGTGTGTATTCCGTGTGCACTCGCCATACAATTCGTTCGACTAGGGTGTTAACGAGAATTCGCCCACGCACGCTCGCGCCATATGACGCTTTGACTCACTTCGTTGTTAAGCCCCGGTTCACCCTCCGGACAAACGCATCCCGCCGGTAATTACTATGATAAACTGCACGCACCGGAGACACGACTCGTCTCCCTGCGAATTTCATGGGAAATGGAGTCTCCCAAGATTATTTGCCTTCTTATTGCCCGACGAACCCCCGGATTAACTAATAACATTTATTTCATTTAGGCTTGCTTGTCAGGAAACGCCATTTGATTTACGATACTCTCGCTCACCTTTGTCCCTTGAACTTCACAATTTTCTCCACGATAAAAACCATCTGCTTTCCTCTCAGTTTCTACCCCTCTCTTTTGTTCAATTTTCCTGTTGGATGTTGAAATTAATTTTTTACTGCAAAAATGAATCTCGTTGAGAAACTCTGTTTAATAGATTGAATAAATAGTCAGAAGATCATGGAGCTGATAGGTGATCTTGATTGTCTAACCTCAGATGACTGAATAATAAATATATTGCACTTTTGATGTCAGATTTTTCCAAATGCATTAAACGTTTTTCACGTGCAGTTTGATTTTCAAAGAGTACATCAAATATTATTGTCATCAGACTTTGTCTCCGTTCGTCTTAAATACCTCGCTCTGTTTGTCCGTGTTAAATATTATACAGCGACATTGTTCGCAACAGTATATGTATATAGTTATAGCGTAACTAATGAAGTCGATGTCGTTTCTGTTACAGCGCCCGTATACGACCAGGATACCACACAAGTAGCAGAATACGATGGAGGTATGTGCGGTGTAGTGACTTTTATTACCCCTAATCAATGTACAAGCACGGGGCAACGACGTGACGTTAATTGTATCGCAGTTAAACAGACGATGGCACGTGCCGTTTTAACGATTCTTACACGACGTCGCTTTCAATCGATCCTTTCGATGAATATTAAGAGTGTCCGACATTATTCGATCGTGTCGCGTATATACTGCTTTGTATCGGCAAACGCATTTCCTCCTTAGAATACGCTACTATCCACAAAAGAGAACCACCTATAGAATACTACAGAATGCAACAACATCTACAGAATACACGAATAATCTACAGAACCTCACCTATAAATTATTCTAATTAAAAAAAAAATTCAAGTCTTGTACTCTGTCTTTTGTCTCGTACAAATCTACACCTTAACAAGCCTTCAACTAATCGTTTTACACCTACAGCCACAGCCGGATGTTACTACAACTACCAACACTACCAGGAGGGTGATCGGATAATCACGAACGAGCCATGTCTGAACTGCACGTGTCACAATCGGATGTTGATGTGCTATCTGAGAGTCTGTCCCTTCACGAAGGCGATCGGCCAAGACTGCACCGTGGAGAAACGTCCGGATCAGTGCTGTCCCGTGATCACCTGTCCAGAGGTACCGGTACAACTGCTCACATCGACCACCAGTCCACCCGCGATTGCTGGTGGTTCCACCGCTGTCGGCTTCCACGACAACTATGGCTGCAACGTTAACGACCGATTCTACGCCGACGGGGCTCAGTTGCCGATCGATCCTCAGAATCCTTGCGAGCTCTGCTACTGCATCAGGAACAGGACCACTTGCGTCATGCAGGAGTGCACCTTGCGTGTGGCTGGGTGCAGGCCAGTTTATCAACCGGGTGTATGTTGTCCGGTCAAATACAACTGCGGTAAGTTCGCCTTTACGAGGGTAAATTGAAAACTTAATGTTATTGCTCGAATAATTTTGTGTTGCGACTGTGAACCTAACAATGTTACTGCTCGAATAATTTTGTCATGAGACTGTGTTTCGATCTCATACAAATGTATTTAATCTGTAAATGTGTTTGATCTGAAGTGAACGAAGAGTTAATTAATTGTGAATTCTGAGCAGAATACGACGAGGAACTTGCAACAACGGTTGAACCAACGCCTGGCCTGATCATGACTACCACGATGGCGCCGAGGACGCAGTGCTACCACGAAGGCATGATTTACGAGGACGGTGATTTGATTTACTCGACGCAACCCTGTCAACATTGCTACTGCTTCCACGGTGACATCGCGTGCGCTGTCCAAGACTGCGGAACGCCCATGAAAACGCACGGAAAGAACTGCACCGCTCTGCCACCGCCCGAAGGAGAATGTTGCCCGACGACGTATCAGTGTGGTAAGTACTTTTCCATCTGGTACCTAACGAGCTAATTTCGTAGCCGCTACATGACCTGTATTGTTGCACAGAAGATGATGGACACGGCGGAGTGCTCACGTTACCGAAAGGCGAGGAAGAGTCCACCGAGGAACACGTTCCGGAAACCACTGCACCGACCGTGACGGAAGCTGAGAAAGAGACTCCGGTACCTGGAGCGCCCGAGGAGTCCTTCCCAGGCTCTGATAATGTTATTCCTGAAGATCACAAGGCGGCGACCACTGAGGAGGCGGCGGAAGCTACGGAACAGCCTGCGAAGGAAGCACCGGAAGCGACGGAAGGAAAAGTCACTCCGGAGTCCACGACACAAGGGGTTGTTTCAAAGGAATACACAACCGAAGTCAGTGAATCAGTAACGGAACCAGCGGTCAAACTGACGGAACCTCCTCGGGAGGCTGAAGCTACCGAGGCACCGGTCGGCGAAGAAAAGGAGATGGTCACTAAACCGGAAGAGGAAGTTACTCAAGCAGCCACCGAACCGTCGATTGTTGAAGAAGTCCCAGAGTCGACTTCGCCGAAAGAGACTCAACCTGAGGAAGAGACTACGGCAGAGGAGGAAAAAGAGATGGTTACCAAAGCAGTGCTAGAGGAGGAACAAACTGAGGGAACACCGCAGAAGGAACAGCCTGAACTGCCGAGCACGGAGAAACCGGGAGAAGAGAAGGTAACGGAAGGTGTCAGTGCTTTAGAACCTGAAGCTACAGAAGCTACCGTACCTAAAGAGCAACCAGAAGTAACTGAGAAAGCACCGGTTGAACCACCGGTTCCTGAAGCAACTACGCTTAAGAGCGTGGAAGAACAAACAACGGAGGCGAAAGAAGCGGAAACACCAGAGGTAGTTGCGGAAGAAGAACAGAAAGCGACGACGATGGCTCCGGTCGAAGAAGAAACCGAAAAGGCTGCGACACCTGAAGTAGCTACCGAGAAACCTGTCCACGAAATTCCGAGCACGGAACAAGTTCCTGTCGAGGAAGAGAAGAAACCGGAAGTTAGCACAGAAGCCACAGAAGCTCAGGGAACTACCGAAGGTGCTGTCGAAGAGAAACCAGAAACACCGGTACACAGGCTTCCTGAAGAGATGCCTAGCCTGGCTCCGAAGAGGGACGATACTATTCCGGAAGAAGAAATGCCTATGATGACGGAGAAGCCTTACGTAGTGGAAGGACATCCTGAAATTGCGGAACAAGGACCAACTGGTATTCCTGTGCCCTCCGTAACGGACCGAGTGCACGAAAGCAAGGCAGAGGACCAGGAAGCGGTGACTGAAGCTCATGTGACCCAAGGCTATGTCGACATGAAGCCTCCAGAGTTCCATGTGCCGAGCAGTCTCGTTACGGAAGCTCCTCAGAAAACGCCCACGACGTATCTTCCTCCTGAGACGACGATAGCTCCAAAGGAAGCGGAAACAACACCCGAGGAAGGAATCGAACATCGAATTCCGGAAGAGCCTTCTGCTACCGAAGCTCCTGTAGAGCAGGAGACCGAAGGTGTTCCACAGGTGACCGAAGGTGTTCCATCGGTGACCGAAGCTGGTGAAGTTCCGAGCGAGAAGGGAACCGAGGGTCCTCAGGTTACCGAAGCTGTTCCAGAGGTCTCGATATCGACGCAGGAAGCTCCACAGGAACAGACTCAACAGACCGAGAAACCGGCGCCTGAAGAGGAAAGTACCGAGGTCTCATCGGCAGAAGTTACTCCATCGACGGAAACTTCGGAAGAGATGCCAACGAAGCATCTCACCTTTGATGATTCTGCGGAAACCTCCTCCGAGGAAGGCAGTTCCGAGTCCACCGAAGAAACAGTTCCTACTAAACCAGCTGAGGAAGTAGAAAAGGAATCTGAAAAACCATCAGAGGCACCCGCTGAAGAAGCAACGGAACCGGCTGTCGAAGAGCAGACGGAAAAAGCAACAACCGAAGGTGTCCTCTCGACGGAAGCTCCACGCACTGAAGCAGCAGCGACGGAGATCAGCGCAGTTCCGGAGGAGAAACCTGCGACGGAAAGGGAACCGGTTACCGAAGAGGAGAAACAAGTTACGGCTGAACCAGAAGAAAAGATTAAGACGGAAGGACCCGAAGAACAGGTGACCGAAAGACCGATCGAAGAGCAAACTCCGGTGACGGCTAAGGCAGGTGAAGAAGCAAGCACCCAACTTCCGGAAGAAGAAGCGAGCGAGAAACCAAGTGTGGAGGAAGCTCCAAAAGAGGCGACTACACCGGAAGCTGAGATTTCGGTACCTGAAGCAGAAAGCGAAAGACCAATGGTCGAGGTTCAACCGACGGTGCCTTCGGAAGAGAAACCAGAATCCACGGAACAACCCGCTGTTGAGCAAACTGAAGCTCCAGTGAGCAAAGAGGTATCTACTGAAGGAGTACCGGAAGAGCAGAAGGCGGAAGAACCGACTGGTGTGAAGGAAGGAACCGAACAACCTGTAACTGAATTGCCATTAACGGAGAAAGCGATTACCGAAGCGGAAGCAGGAAAAGAAGAGCGTAAAGAGGACGAAGGATTAGTTACAGAGAGACTGCCTGAAGGACCAGAAGAAATGCCAGGCACTCAGAGGCCGTCTCTTGAAGAAGAGAAGCCAACTGAAGAGCCTGCGGAAGCTACTGCAGCGCCTGTTGAGGAACACGCAACGGAAGCACCTAGCGAAGAGAAGAAACCTACGGAGGAAGTGTCGACCGAAGGACCAACTGAGGAAGAAAAACCTGCAGAACCGGAGCAACCTGTAACTCCGGTTGAAGAACAAAAACCTGTGGAGGAAGTATCGACTGAAATGCCTGTAGAGAAGGAACAACCAACGGAAGTACCTGCTGAGAAAGAGAAACCGGAGGAGGAAGCGAAACCAACGGAAGTACCTGCTGAGGAAGAGAAGCCTGAGGAGGAAGCTAAAGCAACGGAAGCACCTGCTGAGGAAGAGAAACCTGAGGAAGAAGTAAAATCGACTGAGGCACCTGCTGAGGAGAAACCTGAGGAGGAAGCTAAAGCAACTGAAGCACCTGTTGAAGAAGAGAAACCTGAGGTACAACCGACTGAAGCACCTGTTGAAGAAGAGAAACCTGAGGTACAACCGACTGAAGCACCTGTTGAAGAAGAGAAACCTGAGGTACAACCGACTGAAGCACCTGTTGAAGAAGAGAAACCTGAGGTACAACCGACTGAAGCACCTGTTGAAGAAGAGAAACCTGAGGTACAACCGACTGAAGCACCTGTTGAAGAAGAGAAACCTGAGGTACAACCGACTGAAGCACCTGTTGAAGAAGAGAAACCTGAGGTACAACCGACTGAAGCACCTGTTGAAGAAGAGAAACCTGAGGTACAACCGACTGAAGCACCTGTTGAAGAAGAGAAACCTGAGGTACAACCGACTGAAGCACCTGTTGAAGAAGAGAAACCTGAGGTACAACCGACTGAAGCACCTGTTGAAGAAGAGAAACCTGAGGTACAACCGACTGAAGCACCTGTTGAAGAAGAGAAACCTACGGAGGAAGTGCAACCAACTGAAGGACCTGTTGAAGAAGAGAAACCTCAGGAAAAAGTAAAACCAACTGAAGCACCGGTTGAAGAAGAGAAACCTGAGGAAGAAGTAAAATCGACTGAGGCACCTGCTGAGGAGAAACCTGAGGAGGAAGCTAAAGCAACTGAAGCACCTGCTGAGGAGAAACCTGAGGAGGAGGTAAAATCAACGGAAGCTCCGGCTGAGGAAATGAAACCTGAAGAGGAAGTGAAACCAACTGAAGTACCTGTTGAAGAGGAGAAACCTCAGGAAGAGGTAAAACCAACTGAAATGCCTGTTGAAGAAGAGAAACCACAAGAAGAGGTCAAACCTACCGAAGCGCCTGCTGAGGAAGAGAAACCTGAGGTTGAAGTACAACCAACTGAAGCACCTGCTGAAGAAGAGAAACCTGAGGAAGAAGCTAAAGCAACTGAAGCACCTGTTGAAGAAGAAAAACCTCAGGAAGAAGTGAAACCAACTGGAGTACCTGCTGAAGAGAAGCCTGAGGTGGAAGTGCAAGCAACTGAAGCACCTGTTGAAGAAGAGAAACCTGAGGTACAACCGACTGAAGCACCTGTTGAAGAAGAGAAACCTACGGAGGAAGTGCAACCAACTGAAGGACCTGTTGAAGAAGAGAAACCTCAGGAAAAAGTAAAACCAACTGAAGCACCTGCTGAAGAAGAGAAACCTGAGGAAGAAGCTAAAGCAACTGAAGCACCTGTTGAAGAAGAGAAACCTGAGGTACAACCGACTGAAGCACCTGTTGAAGAAGAGAAACCTGAGGTACAACCGACTGAAGCACCTGTTGAAGAAGAGAAACCTGAGGTACAACCGACTGAAGCACCTGTTGAAGAAGAGAAACCTGAGGTACAACCGACTGAAGCACCTGTTGAAGAAGAGAAACCTGAGGTACAACCGACTGAAGCACCTGTTGAAGAAGAGAAACCTGAGGTACAACCGACTGAAGCACCTGTTGAAGAAGAGAAACCTGAGGTACAACCGACTGAAGCACCTGTTGAAGAAGAGAAACCTGAGGTACAACCGACTGAAGCACCTGTTGAAGAAGAGAAACCTGAGGTACAACCGACTGAAGCACCTGTTGAAGAAGAGAAACCTGAGGTACAACCGACTGAAGCACCTGTTGAAGAAGAGAAACCTGAGGTACAACCGACTGAAGCACCTGTTGAAGAAGAGAAACCTGAGGTACAACCGACTGAAGCACCTGTTGAAGAAGAGAAACCTACGGAGGAAGTGCAACCAACTGAAGGACCTGTTGAAGAAGAGAAACCTCAGGAAAAAGTAAAACCAACTGAAGCACCTGCTGAAGAGAAACCTGAGGTAGGAGTACAGCCAACGGAAGGACCTACTGAGGAAGAAAAACCAGTAGCGGAAGTACAACCAACTGAAGCGCCTGCTGAAGAAGAGAAGCCTGCAGTTGAAGTACAACCAACAGAAAGTCCTGCTGAGGAAGAAAAACCAGTAGTGGAAGAGAAAGCAACTGAGGCTCCTGTGGAGGAAGAGAAACCCATTGAAGAGAAGAAAATAACTGAAGGTCCTACTGAAGAAGAAAAGCCTACTGAAGGTCTCTCTGAAGTGGAAAAGACAACTGTGGGTCCCACTGAAGAAGAGAAACCGACGGAAGGTCCTTCTGAAGAAGAAAAGCCGACCGTAGGTCCTACTGAGGAGAAGCCAACTGAAGGTCCTACTGAGGAGAAGCCAACTGAAGGTCCTTCTGAAGAGGAAAAACCAAGTGAGAAACCAACAGAATTAGAAAAGTCGACTGAAAAGCCTCTAGAGGAAGAAAAACCAACTGAACGAACTGTCGAAGAAGAAAAGCCTATCGAAGAAGAGAAGCCAACCGAAGGTCCTGCTGCAGAGGAGAAGCCAACGGAGGAACAGAAACCAATCGAAGAAGAGAAACCTGCTGAGGAGGTAACCGGAAAACCTGTAGAGGAAGAGAAACCTGTTAAGGAGGTGACTGGATTACCTGCTGAGGTAACTGGAAAGCCTGTAGAAGAAGAGAAACCAACTGAAGCAGGAATTCCTGAGGAAGGAGTACAAACTCAGGTACCTGTCGAGGAACAGAAACCGGAAGAAAAGCCGACCGAGGCGCCAAGCGAAGAACAGACACCGACCGAAGGAGCTGCCGAAGAGAAACCAACGGAGAAACCTGTAGAGGAAGAAAAACCAAGCGAAACGACACCTCAAGAACCCGTACCCGTAGAAATTTCAACCGAAGCACCTGTAGTTGAGAAGAAACCAACCGAACGAGCTGAGACTGTACCCACGGAGACGCCCAGCGAAGAAGAAACTGTTCCATCTGTTCCTAAAGAACGGCCCGAAATTCCGAAAGAAACAGAAGCTTCGACCGTCACTGCCGAAGAAGTCGCACCTACAGAAGAAGCGAAAACAGAGAGTGCTGTGCCGCAAGAAATATCGACCGAAGCTCCCGCAGTCCCCGAACCTACCACAGTGCCTTCTAAATTAGCTCCAGAACAACCAGAAGTGTTGCCTGAGGGAAGCGAGAAACCAGAAGTTGAAGCATCAACAGCAGCAGTACCCAGAGAAGAAATCGAGAAGATGGAAACTGCAGCACCCGAAATGGGTGTCAGCCCCGAGGCACCTGAAGTGTCTTCCACTCAGCCCACAGTCTCCGAAACTACGGCACTTCCTCGAGAAACAGAATTGCCAGAGGAAGAGCAAAAGATCACGCCTCCAGAAGAAGCAGCGACGAAAGTAACTGTACCGACGGAAGAAGCCACGCAAGCTCCTCAGGAAAAAGAACCAGAACCAACTATAGAGGAGAAGATCGCTGAACCATCGACTGCACAGCCACCCAAGGAGGAAGAACTTCCAGAAACCACCCCACACGCAGAGGTACCGAAAGCGACCACCGAACAGGCTGTCGAACAGACCACCGTGGCTGAAGAAGAAACGACACCAGGAGTTCGTGTACCGCCGTCGATTCCAGGAGAAGGCAACTGCCTGGTCGAAGGACAATCTTACAGCAACAATTCCGCCGTGCCTCCTTCCAACGCCTGCCAACTCCGTTGTCAGTGTATCAGCAGCATCATTCAGTGCGACCTCGTTCAATGTCCACCACCACCGAGTCATCTGTCGAACTGCATGCCCGTGCACGCGGGCAAGGACTCCTGCTGCCCGATGTACACCTGCGACTCGACACCCACGGCCGTGCTGGAATCTGACAACCACATGATCGAACAGGAAACGCCGAAGTATGAACCGGAAGAGAAAGAACAGAAGACTGTGTCGCCTCCGGTTACCGAGGTCCCAGAGAAGGAGTCTACGATGGAACCTGTTGAAGGAGTTAAAGAACCAACGAGCGCAGCCCCTGAAGTGCCCAGTGAGAAGGAAACCGTTGCACCCAGCTTGGCCGAGGAGACACCATCGACGCCGAAATCCGTCGAACCTGAACACGTACAAACGACTACTGCCGGAGAAACTACCAAAGAAGCTGAAGAGCACACGCTTAGCCCGGTGTCTCCGGAGGTAGAGTCTTCTAGTCAAGTTCCTGAAGAGGAGACGAAGGAACCCTCGGAAGTGCCAAGCAAAGAGAAGCCCGAGCAAGAGGTCCCCGAACAACCGGTCGAACCTGAGGAACCAGCGAGTCCAGCTGCCGGTGAAGAACAGATCGTGACAACGGAAGCCAGTCAGCGAGAACAAACTACCTCTGAGATTGAAAAGGAGATCGAACCGTCTACCCTGAAACCGATAGCACCAACCGAGGAGGAGCAGAAACCTGAAGAGGGTGAACAAGCAACCGTTTCTCCAGCGGTTCCGGAAGAAGGCGTTAGCGAGGAAGCTGTTCCAAGCTCTGAGGCGCCGGAACTTGCTCCAGGAGGACTTCCGTCGGTTACCGAAACCCAGAAGCCGTTAGAGGAGGGAACCACCGTGGAATCAGTGACACAAGCTGAAGAAGAGAAAGAACCGAAACCAGAAGTGCAACCTGCTGAACCTGAGCAACCAGCAACGGAGGCGGAGTTACAGACTACCGCTCAACCGAGCGAAGCAGAAGCTGAAAGAACAACTCCCGCTGGAGTAGAAACATCTACTCCTGAACAAAAGATCTTGGAAGAACCTGCAGTTACTCCCGTGGAACAAGAAACTGTTAAACCATCGGTAGAAGCTGAACCCACCGAACCGACAGTGAAAGAAGCTTCTACGGAAGCGCCAGTATCTCCGTCAGAAGAGGTGACTGTACCTGGTGTCACTAAGGAAAAACCGACTGGTACTGAAGCAGTTACGGAAGAAGCTGTGACGGTAAGCAAAGAAGCAGAGACCACGAAGAAACCTCTTGAAGAAGAACAAGTACCGACCGAGCAACCTTTACCGACTGCTGAAGTTGAAGAACAAACCAAAGAAACGCCTGAGGGCACAGTTAAGGCTACCACGGAAGGTATTGAAGAGCAGACAGAACAACCTGAGAGATTACCCGAGGTGCCAAGTTCTACGGAAGCCGCAGAAGTCGGTACTGAACAACCATCGCCATCTACCGAACCAACAAAAGAGGTTGCAGAAGAACGACCGGTTTCTGAAGAGAAACCTGAAGGTACACCACAACCTGTACCAGAAGAGCAACCGGAAGTCACCACTGCTGCGGAGGTACAAACTCCTGAGGTATCACCTGCCGAGGAAGCTACACCGTCGGTAATTGCTGAAGGAACCGAGAGGGCACCTGAAGCGACCACTCTGAAAGCAGTGTCCTTACCCGAGGAGCAAACTGAACCGGCAGTCGAGAAACAGACGGTACCGACCGAAACAACCGAGGAAGTCACTGTTAAGGAGGAACCTGCACAACCGGAACAGCCAACGACGGAACAAGCAACGAGTGCTCCGGTAGAGGAGCCTAAAGCTACAGCGGCGCCTGAAACTCCAGAACAGGTAACGGAGGAGGAACGTGTGACGGAAGGTCTGGAAGTCAGTGCAGGAACGGAACCACCGAGCGAAGTGGAAACTTCTGCACCATCAGTTCCTGTGGAAGAGCAGAAACCTGAGGAACAAACTCAAACACCGAGCGCGGAAGAGGCTACGCCCGGATCAACCAAACCAGGTCTCGAAGAAACAACTTCGGCCGGTTCTACGCCAGTTCCTGAAACTACTGAAGAACAGAAACCGGTGACAGAAGGTGTACCCGAAGAGAAAGCAACGACGGTTCCGAGCGAAGTGAGCCCCGAACAGCCTGTTACAGAGAAGAAATTACCGGAGGAACCTGAAGAGCCACAACAGACAGAGGCACCTTTGGAAGCAGAAACAGGAAAACCGGAAGAAGAAAAGGTAGAAATTCAAACTACCCCAGCGGCGGAGATTGAACCTGCTGTGAAAACACCTGCCTCGACCGAAATGCCGGAGGAAGCACCCAGCGAAACGCCAGAACCTGAACTTCATGGAGCACCGGAAGAAGGCACGGAGGTACCTGTGAAAGCCACGGAAGTTCCGGAGAAGATAGCTCCTAGCACAGAAGCGCCAGAAGAAGCAACAGAGAAGGTCACTCCTAAATTGCCAGAACAAGAGTTATCAACCGAGGCTCCAGAAGCAGTCACTCCTGCTGAAGAGGTGCCGGAGAAGGTAACTCCTGCGGAAGAGGTGCCGGAGAAGGTAACTCCTGCGGAAGAGGTGCCGGAGAAGGTAACTCCTGCGGAAGAGGTGCCGGAGAAGGTAACTCCTGCGGAAGAGGTGCCGGAGAAGGTAACTCCTGCGGAAGAGGTGCCGGAGAAGGTAACTCCTGCGGAAGAGGTGCCGGAGAAGGTAACTCCTGCGGAAGAGGTGCCGGAGAAGGTAACTCCTGCGGAAGAGGTGCCGGAGAAGGTAACTCCTGCGGAAGAGGTGCCGGAGAAGGTAACTCCTGCGGAAGAGGTGCCGGAGAAGGTAACTCCTGCGGAAGAGGTGCCGGAGAAGGTAACTCCTGCGGAAGAGGTGCCGGAGAAGGTAACTCCTGCCGAAGAGGTAACGGAAGTAACACATGCCGAAGAAGTAACGGAAGTAACACATGCCGAAGAAGTAACAGAGAAAGTCACTCCTGTTGAAGAAGTAACAGAGAAAGTAACGCCTGCCGAAGAGGTAACAGAGAAAGTAACTCCCGTCAAAGAGGTACCGGAAGAAGTAACTCCTGCAGAACAAGTAACAGAGAAAGTAACTCCTGTTGAAGAGGTACCAGAGAAGGTGACTCCTGCTGAAGAAGTACCAGAAGAGGTTTCAACCGCAGCACCAGAAAAGGCAACCGAGGCACCAGAGAAAGAGGTTCCTAGCGAAACTCCGGAAGTGATGGCACCTACCGAGGCACCAGAGAAGGTTGTTCCAGAAGAAGCTACGGAAGTGCCGGTGAAGTCTCTTCCTGAAGAAGGAGAACCTTCCGAGGAGCCAGAGAAGACTACCGAAGAGTCTGAAAAGGTTCTTCCAGAAGAGAAGCCAGTAGAAGAAGAGCAACAAACGGTACCACCCGCAGAAGAGACACCGCAAACTACGGAAGGTATTCTGATCAAGGAGCAGACACCGAGCGCGACAGAACCTCCTCAGGTTGAAGAGAAATCGACAGTGCTTCCAACGACTGGCGAAGAACAGGCATCTCCGAGCACATCGGCTCCGGAGCTCGAAGCGACATCTCCTCGCGAAGAACAGCCTGCGACGGAAGCTGCGACTGTTCCAGAACTGGAAGTTACGACAAAGGCAAGTGAACCGAGCCAACCAGCGGAGACCGAACCTGCACCGGAACAACCCGCCACGGAACCCACGATCGAAACGTCGACGGAAGCAGAGAAGCAGCCAGAAACCGAGAGCACTCCTGAAAAAGAGCAAACGGTTCCATCTACGGAAGCGCCTCTGGAGAAGAGCACCGAACCAGCGCTACCCGAAGAACACAAGGAAGAAGGTACTTCGATGAAACCCGAAGAAGAAGCTCCTCAACCCGTCGAACCTGTCGAGGAAGATCTCGCCACGAAAACTGAAGGACTTCCAACAGAAGTCAGCCCCGGGGAATCCGCGGAAGAACCGGAAGAAGAACACGAAGCCGTGTCACCGGAAACTGTTCCCACAACCGAAGAGGGTGAACTCGAAGAACACCTTCAACCGGTGAATCAGACCGAGACTACCGAGAAACCCGTACAACCTACTCTATACGAACGACCTTCGAGTACCGCGGTCCCACAGACTCCAGAATACCCAGAACCGTCGGTACCCGAAGAAGAACACCCAGGCTTCCCACCGCAAGACGAAGACTACGACGAAGACGATCAAGCGATCTACGGACCAGGCACCTGTCGATACGGTGGCAAGGTCTACGTGTCGGCTCAACAGATACCCAGAGACGATCCTTGCGACTTCTGCTTCTGCTTCAGAAGCGACATCATCTGTCTCCAACAGAGTTGTCCACCGCCCATCCCAGGCTGCCACGAAGAACCCATCAGCGGCTTCTGTTGCCCGAGATACGAGTGCCCGGTTTCGATGGCCACGTCGCTCAACATCACCACGACAACAACGACTACCACGACCACGTTGCCGCCACACTTCCACGCTCATGCGTATAAAGGAGCCGCGAAACGAAGCGGCTGCCAAATCCGTGGACAAGCGTACCGCGTTGGAGAAATCATTAGGTCCGCGTCGGGACCTTGTCTTCAATGCACGTAAGTTCTTTTTATGTGGATTATGTTTGTGAGAGATAATCAGGTCTTGGGGGTTCAAACTTGGCTCTGGACTAATTTACCTATCAAATTCTAAATTTCTAAGATACTGAAATGTTGAAGTTGTAGAGTTCTGATATTCCATGCTCCGGAAGGTTTGAACACGTCAAAACTCCAAATCCCGAAATTGCTGAATAATCAAATCCTCTAATCTTTAAGTTCTCATACCTCAAAATCCATAAATTCCAAAGTCATCAAATCTACAAACGTTGCACTCCTTAAATCTTCAAATTTTCGAACCCTCAAGTCTTCAAATCCTCAAATCCCCAAATCCCTAGATACCCAAATACCCAAATCTCCACCTCTTCAAATTCCCACATCCTCAATTCCACATATCCCCAATTCCACACATCCTCAATTCCACGCATCCCCAATTCCACACATCCCTAAATCCACTCAACCCCAAATCCACACATCCCTAAATCCACACATCCTCAATTCCACACATCCCCAATTCCACACATCCCCAATTCCACACGTCCCTAAATCCACTCATCCCCAGATCCACACGTCCCTAAATCCATACATCCTCAATTCCACACATCCCCAATTCCACACGTCCTCAATTCCACACATCCCCAATTCCACACATCCCCAATTCCACACATTCCTAAATCCACACGTCTCTAAATCCATTCATCCCCAGATCCACACATCCTCAACTCCACACATCCCCAATTCCACCTATCTCTAAATCCACACGTCCCTAAATCCACACATCCCAAAATCTCCACCCCCAAGTCTCCAACTTTCCAAAATTTTTAAATTCCAAAATCCCAAAGTTGAAATAAAAATTATGCAAATTTCAAATTTGGTAGTGTAGTAAGAAATATTTAATCGAAAGATGATTCGAATGAACAATTTGAACTTTCAGTTGCGGAGGAGACGGTAACATGAAGTGTGATCCACGAGTGTGCAGCCCGGAACCAATGTTGAGGCAAATGATCGCGGCAGCCACGGCCAGAAGAAGGAGATGAGCCAGCCAATTCGATCCCAGGGATCCGACAAACAAATTTCCACGCGATACGGAGTCTAGAGCAGGATCAGTGTTGTATAAAAGTGAATTAAAAATATTCTAAACTATCGAAATGTCGCGGAACACAGACTGTAATGTGGTTCGGCGATCACGAACTGAGTGGCCAAAACGTAAACGTTTTATATTATAATATTATATTATATTATGTTATATATATAAAAAAAGCGAAAAAGATAGAGGTAGGAATAGAGAAAGAGAGAGTTGAGAGAGGGAAGATCGTTGAGAACGTGAAATGGAAAGGACTAAAAAAATGGAATATAGCCTCGTAAACAAAGTTCGTTTTCCGGTGCCAAACGTGATAGGGAAAGATAGTAAGCGACGAAAGTGATTAGTTCCACGTCTCACGCCATTTTTTTACGAATAAAAAACGATGGTTACGGAAGATGAAGCGGAAGAAGAGGAAGCTGAAGAAAAGCGTTAAAAAAAAAGTTGATGAACGTATGAGACTTATGACTGTGCCTTCGTCAGTGTCGACAACATCGGCACTACTTTCGTTCCGTGGCAGCCAAAACGGAGCCGATTCTGGCCACGATCATCGTCGTTGGAGTTTTATTCTCAGGGAATCGTCATTAGGACTAAATATAGGTGATGGGAAACGATAAACGCGCGTTTCATCGACGCGGCCAAAAAAAAAATGAAAAAAAAATCACATAAAAATAACAAATCTTCGATACACGTGGAGAGCGATTTCTTGTACAGTGACATTGTAACGGCAATCGGAAACGATCGTACGAGGGACAACCGTGAAGAGTGCTGCCAACAGGAATGATCCGCGAACGGTTTCCTTCGTACGATCGATCGCGTGGATGGAACGCTGTCGAACGTTGCTCTTGTAATATCACTGTAAAAACTCGAACAACGATGATCCACGGCAATCTGCTGCACGATCGACAGATCTAGATCGTTTTTCTGGCTGACACGCGTCAACGTGCGCCAAGTCCACGTTCACTCACGTTTACCTACGTGCTCGAATACGATCGAGATAACGAGCAAATCCATGACAAATTGTTCGTTTTTGTGTACACAGTTCTATCGCGAATTTTCCTGTTGACTTTCGGTATTAAATCGTGAAACGTTTTTAAACACTAATATTTGTATAGCTTATGTCGGATATCTAACAACGAACATTATCATTTTATAGCGTTAGAGTTCTCGCAAGTAATTCCTATTTCAATATAAATGTAAAATTATAGAAATCAGAGTGAAATTAATGGAGATCGTAATTCGAAGACGTGGCGTGTGTGCGCCTGGTGCATTTCTACGTTTAAAGGTTAAAGAAAGACAAGACGAAAGGTACGCGTATCTCAAAGCTCAAACAGCGGCTCGCGCGGAGGACCGATTACGAATTTGCTTCTCCGGCGAGCTGGCGTCATTATACATACATAAATACATGCATACATACACGTATAGATATATACGCATGTACATATATGCGTGTATGTACGTATATACTTATATATAGATAAATATAAATATATACATTTATACAATTCTTTATACACACTGTACCCTCCTAAATAATATTACTTAACAATGTTCTATACATTTGTACGAAAGTATAACTATCTATGATGATGATGATGATCGTTCTTCGTTCTCCAGTCTCAAAGTGTCGCGAGGATCGATTCCGATCCGCTAGCGAAAAGGAAGCGCTCCGATTTCCCTCTCCGCGATAATCTCTACGCACACGAAAGTCAATTAATTTGATACTTTTTGCTGAGCCATACAACACGCGACGAAACACCGAACTACATATAATAGCGAAAAGTGTTGAGCCCCGAACGCGGAGACTCGGCTACGCTTTGAGACTTCGGAACTTGGAGCCGTTTAGATGTAATAGAGAGTGAAAAAACGCTATTATTTGGTCGCACAAATACTGCGCATACTGTCTGTATTTATACTCGGACGAGGACGACGACGAGTCGAACTTCTGTCTTCCTTGCATCAGCGATAAAAGCTCGTGAATTCTTTTTGTACGCGCTCGTTTTATAATTTAGTTTCTCTATGCGAGGGGTAGCTCGCGCGATCGCGACGGTGATTTTTGCTCGCGAACACAAAAAGGAACAAAAAAATAAAAGGTGGAAACAACTATTAGTAATATATAGAGACGGGATCTCTGTCGATCGAATAGATAGAGTAAAGTAGTGCTTCCATGGCAACTCGATCGTGATACATGTGGCCATATTATTAACCACTGTTCCAGAGATAAATGTTTCTTCTCTTTTTTTACGTTGCGATAAATAAAGTTGATACGCACGATCCCTCGTCCTGTGAGAATTTTCTTTCATGTATACGAAGCGCGATGGCGCCAACGAACTAGCAAAATCGCTAAAAATTACTACGAAATATAGAAACTGTCCTGTACTTCTTTATATTTTTTATTCCCAATAAAATCCTCAAGCCCTACATTCGGCTGCCACTGCTTTTTACACGGTCGGGTAGCCACCATATCGAACAAAAAAATTCCTAATTTTTCTTTTCGATAACGAATGTTTTCCATGAAATGCCAAGTCGTTAAGTTTCCATTTTGCGTCGAGAGCCAATCACTCGTAAATCGGTACTTACGCACAATCGAATCGGTTGTTTCAAGCTAACGATTCTAGCAATTAATCGAGCCTAGTATTTATCGAAAATATCCATTTCACGCTCGTAGCGATAGAGCGTACTGAAAGTATCGAGTGTTACGAACGGTACGTTTATATAATACATGTAACTCTAACTTAAGGATACATTAATTATGGTGAATACATAGGATGCATGTAATTATTAACGAGACGGCGCGTTCGGTGTTGGTAAAATCGGTCCACGTTCGTTCGACGATCGACCCCGTTCTTTTTACCAACGCTACGAACCTTATACATATTATATATATAAATATATATACATAAATGCATGATATTTATGCACAGAATGACCAATTTTCGTCTGGTGCCAATAGTCTTCGAGCGACTGCCCGCGTGATGCGGCAGCGTCCTCCGACTTAGAAATTAATTGAACGGAAGCTGAGGTGGATTAAAATTGATCATGCTGTGAATAGCAAGAAAAATGTGGCGCTCAGTACACGAATATACTCAACACATGCTCGTGATGGATTTCCCTGAAACGTTTCTTTTTTGTGTTTATTCCTTCTTTCTTTTTTTTTTCAATTTTGACGACCACAATTGTTCTCAGCATAATCCGTTATCGTTTGCCGCGTTTAATAACATATGTGATACATAAAGAAACGAGCGAGCCGAGGTATCTCGGTAGTCCCGACTGTATGGAAGTAGGCTAGTTTTGACAGTACGTGCTAGTATAAAGTGTCCTTTTATATGAATAAACGATTTTGTATGTCAAACATAAATATCTACTTTCATCCTTCCCATTTTTCCCCGGTAAGTTTTCTATTAGCTAAGTAAGCTTTCTATTTCGTGGAAAATAATTAAATACTAATTTATGAAAATATTATTAAATATTTATGACGTAATTACCTCTACCGTAATTTATTATCGTCTTAATCGAGTTCCAAAAATTCTTTTCGCCTTAAGTCATCATTAGACTCTGTATTCTTTGACACTAATTTAAATATTAGTATCTGCGAAGATTCAGTACACCCATTTAGCATTACCAACTTGTGGTACCTTAAAATATTTAAAAGTATTCTAAACAAATAATACTCGTACGAATAAAATTATCTTATCATTTGTTAATATTATTGAAAATATTTTTCCAAGAATATTTTGTATCTGTATTTTCTAAAAAAATAATTCGAAAAGTTTGTAAAATACATGGTAACTATATGTGTCGATAATGCAGATTTCTCGCTTTATAAACCGTAAGTATTTTATTCTAATTTATATTATTGACATGTGCGAATACTTAAAATGTTTAAGATATGAAGAAAGTGTCTAAATAAATTGTAATAAAAAAAATATTTTTGTATGATTTCGATTCATAGGGAATTTATTTACTGCACATGATTTCAAACATAAAGTAACTAGTGGCGGGAATAGATGTGACGCTTAACGTTTTATCGCTGCGTGATGTTTCTATCGATAATAAAGTATGATTTACGATGAATCTTTAATCAAAGTATATATATGTATATGTGTTTTTTGTCCGTGTGATTTTGTGCCACGTATTATTTAATAATTCATTGTTATATAAAGGTGTTAATAAATTATCGAACTATATTATTGCGCATTAAATGAGGTTATTCCGGTTGTAACGTATTAACTTGAAATAAAAAGAATAAATGCTTAAGAATTACATACATTATTTTAAATTGCCTTCATAATGGATATTTTGGCGACGCAAGTATTGGAAGACGATGATCTTTCATCAACACCACCAATATTGTACTCTCTGAACCAGGTAAAGAAATCAGTACTGCAGGTACAAAACAAAACATTTTCTGTGGTTTTTTTTGTACTTTCCTGACTTATTCATTATATGAATGATGAAAGATTAGATTTTTTATTGCATTATTTCTTTTATTAAAATATTTTAGGTCGGCGTATTAAATGTTGGTTCCAATACATATCCAATTAAGGAAGGGATTAATAAAATTGGTAGACATGCAGAATGTGACATTGTACTGAACGAACAGGTAAGCTTTTAAAAATATTCACCAATCGATACATGAAAAATACTGCTTTAATTTTTGAAGTGGAATAATAAAGGATGTACATGACAACTTTGTGAAGAATGTTTAGATAAAATTGGTCAAATTCTTAATATTACATGTATCAGCATAAAACATTATTACAATTCTTCTTTTAATGCATCAAATGTAGTATCTACTTTGTTTTCATTGAAATTGAGAGAATTCCAGAAATGTTTGTGACCAAAATTGATAGTGCTGTCCATACGAATATTTTGTGGTCCACCAATGTGTAAATAATGTAAGGCCTTTTCGTTTGGATTTAATCTTGGCCATTGTGCATCATTGACATTTGGAACTCTACATTAATTTTTAAAAAAAAAAGATATATAAAAACATAACTTGATTTTCTTAAGTATGTGATATAAATTACTTTACTTACCCATGAGTTGCAAATGATACCCATAAGTCAATTAATACTTGTTGTATTTTACGATCATCTAGTGTTGTTGTAGGATCAAAGTAAGGTGTGTCTACTACATGGTATGCATCATCTCCATGACTTACACCTTTATAAAATATATATTACTTAAAATTGTATTCTCTTCAATTTATTGATTTCTGTATTCAAATAACCTACCATAGTTAGTGGTAGTCCCAGACAAAGCATCGCTAAGACTATGTGCACCTCTAAAGGTATAATAGTAATACCAAACAGGTTCCTTATTAACTTTGGCCACCATTCTAGCAGCTTTTTCACTGTCAACAACAAAGAATCGGTCACTGGCTACTTGTATTAAAGGTTTTGTTGTTGTTTCATCTATCTTCTTTGATCCAAAGTATTCCTTCCTAATCAGTTTGGCAACTTCAACATGTTTCTCTATGGGTACAGTGTAATTATAATCAAGGAAAGAAGGTGCAATAATATCCCAGTTATTGTCCAATGTTTTCAAAGCTTCTGGTATAGCAATAAATTCTGTAAAATGCAAAATTTTATAAGAAATAGTTCACCTATTATGATCTAAAGTTTTCTGTCATTATGTACTTCTTACCAGCAACTGGATACAATCCCTCTTCACTGGTTACTCCAGTGATCCAAGGAACATCTTGAACATCCCCACTACTCACTATTTCAGCAGGTGTACGGTCAATGAATGGTTCATCCCCATATTTCTCAGGAACTGGACCAAATGGCGTGAATGGATTATAATAAAATGGCTACGATAAAATTATCATTTTGAAACAGACACCAATGGGAATCATCACTGTTTTAATACATCTATATCAGGACTAAATAATTACCATGAATTGACCAAGAGATTCAACCAAAGTTCTGCCTGGGCGATATTTGAGACAACGTACCATCTCTCTTACATTATTTGTAGGGCAGCCCATGAGGGCTCCTAATTGTTTAGCTTTTTGACTAGAATTTTCAGTCTGTGTCCAACAATCAAAAGCAGTACCACTAATTGAGATACCACCTGCATTATTTAAAAACATTAACAAATTGAGAAATTAAAATTCTGCATAATCATATATACCAAAAATACCTTGGAAGAGACCAGCACTCATAGGAGATAAATAATGATAATGAACACTTGCACCTCCAGCGCTTAAACCGACCAAAGTCACTCGGTTTGGATCACCTCCAAACCATTCAATATTTTCTGAGATCCATCGCAGAGCCATACTTTGGTCTTTCAACCCCATGTTACCAGGAACCACTTCATCTTCAGTACTGAGGAACCCTTGAATGAAAAATCTCGTATTTTATATCATTTACTGCAGGAACACAAAAGCTTGATCTTAAATATTACTCTTATATACCTAACATTCCAAGACGATAGTTGATTGTAACAAATATGACGTCACGATCCATGAGGTATTTAGCGCCCATATACATTCCGCTACCATATTGGAAAGCTCCTCCATGAATCCAGAAGAGTACTGGCAGTGATTTGGTCTGCCTTTCGTTTGGAACATATATGTTTAAGTACAGGCAATCTTCAGAACCTTCGACTCTATCATTAGGGTCTTCAGGTATTTGGGCATATTGCAAGCAAGGAGAACCAAATTTGGTTGCTGGAAGTTCACCCATCCATGGTGGCAGTCGTTGAGGAGGCTAAAAAGACATAAATATCTAAATACTTTATAAAATTATTCTATGCTTCATGATTGTTATGATCTTGAAGAATAGGATTCTCTACCTTGAACCGAAGTTTCCCAATTGGAGGTAGGGCGTAAGGGATTCCTTCATAGGCTTCATACTGTCTGCCATTAGCTGACACTTTATAGTACCCTCGGATAGCACCCTGAGGAGTCTTAACCCTCGGCGACTCTTCCAGCGCCCATGTCAATGTTAGCAGCCCAGAGAGAAGCAGCAGAAGTAGCAGTCTCGTCATCTTCAGCGAAATGAAGACGTTGCGATCGATCCCGTTTATTTATTGCACTCTTTGCGATAACTGTATGTGTTAAATTTGAACCTCGATAAAAAATATATTGATATGGAATTTATATGTACAACAACACGGCCACGAATATTAATCAGGTGATTAGACTCACTCTGTATCTCTTGTCGCCGAGATGGGTCATGTCTTGTTATACTAAAGAATACAAGCTTCTATGCAACTACTATATTAATAGGTGCATGGATGTAGATTTGCACACCCTTTTGTCAACAGAAGTGATAAGATAAATTCGAGATCCATATTGGACTCGTTTTGTTTAAAGAGTTTTAAACGTGGTAATCCGTGTACTTGAATAGATCACTGTTAGTCTATGAGAGTGTAATTAACCCTCGTATTTGAAGTTGATAGAGTTAGTGATACCTGAGGTGAAAGACACTGCATCATATTGAAACTTCATTGTAAAAAATTTGGAAAATTCTAAATGTTTAGATTAAGTAATTATAAAGTCCTACATTTGTTAAATCTCTGTATTCTACGACGATAAAGATCCGTCACTGTGGTAGTAACTACATAAAAACCAATAAGATATTTCGAAAGAAGTGATATGTTCTTAGCACAAAAAATGATTTATATTTGTCTCAATGAGAACTGACTTAATCTGATTTATCTGTCTCCTGTTTAGTGCAGTCAAATTTCTTGATGATAAAAATTCCTTGCGCAAACAAAACATCTTGCACTTGAAAATACAGTGATGCAGCATTAGAAAATTCGTGAAAAACGATATAAATATATGTTGATATAATTACCAACCGCACTTTAAATATCATTCTTCAAATAAATATGATAAGAAAAAGACGTCAGGGTGACAACTCAGATGTGTATCTTAATTCGTTGCATACAAGAGACACACGTATTTTAATAACCGTTTAATTATACAAATTAGAGTTTACGTCCAGTCGTCATCTTTTATCCGCAAAAATTTTGAAGATTATTATAAGCAAACTGATCAGTCAACTTTCCACTTGATAGCAAACCGAAAGATATCTGCAAGAGGCAAACAAGACGGAACGAACGTATAAATATAGGATGATAATTAAATCATAAAAATATCAATTTAATTTGCAGACGGTATCAAAGAAACACGCAGAAATCGAGGCTAACGGCCACGAGACATCGGCATGGATTTGCGACCTGAATTCTTCCAACAAGACGAAACTGAACAATGTAATGGAAATTTTATATCAATTAGATTTCTCTTAAACGCATTCAATAGCTCAATGATCGTTAACCTACGATCCAATCTTATCTTTCCAATCTTATCATATCGCTACCTTTGAAACGTTGTATCTGATCGTATATGCTTCTCAGAATGTTGTGTCATTATTTTCACTTTGTTAAACGTCGTTATTCTGCAAAACTTGTCTGATGAATACAGTTTTTCGAGAGCTAATCATCCATTAGAACAGTGTCTATAATTGTAACACCTATTCTGCTTTGTAGTCAGTTTTACGGCCAGGCCGATGTTACGAGCTCAAAGATGGAGGTGTTCTCGAATTTGGAACGACGCGTGCGGTCTTCAGACTCTGTTCATCACTAGACGACTCCATGATACCAGAAACTCCGTTGCCACCTCGGCAAAATAATCAACAGCTCATTCCAGGAACACCTGATTCCTCGGTTGAGTTGGTAATTATGGTCTTTGAGATTACAATTGTACTCTTAGTAGAAACCGATGTTGTATCGAGTATGTTTTACGCAGAGCACATCGTCTCTGGGAGACAATGTGTCCATGATTCCGGGAACCCAAGGCGACAATCAAGAATCAATGTTTCGACGTCCGTCTGTGCCTCAGAGAAGCTCCACGAGCAAGAAGAAGAGTTTTGTGCATGACTCCTTCGTTGATGACAGCACTGACAATTCTAGGAGTTTTACCGTAGGAAACAAGGAAAACGTAGGTAGACAGACAACCAGCATTCACGATATGGAGACCCAGAAGACATTCGAATCGCTAGATGAAACGGGTGACGATATTTACGATGTTGAGACTCAAAAGATTTGTCTGAGTAACATCAAAAACCCCGCGGAACTGCCGCAAGACGAGACAAGTGATATTCATGACATGGAAACGCAACACGAGGACACCGAAGATAACACATTCGGTACTAATGAGACGAAGGTGCAGAGCGATGTAGACATTCACGACGCGAAGACGCCGAAAAGATCTGGTACTCGGAGTGTTACATGGGATATCGACGATAGTGCTCGAAATAATCTCGCGGCAAGTCCAACAGCGGAGAAAAGTCCCGAAACAGTGATACCAAAGACAGAAGTTACAGAAGATACGTTCTCTTCAGACAGTCATAACGAAGATAAAATTAAGGAAGATGATACGATACGCACTGAATATTCGAAGGACTTGCAAAAGACTTCCGAAGAGTACCTGCAGTTGTCGCTCAACACGAACTTCGAGGAGGAGGATTGCTCGGAACTTGACATAAGCCGCAATTTACTTGGATCACAGAATCTGTTAGATCATCTTATGGAAGAGAACAGACCAGATCAGACGAAATCGAAAGTACCGACACCTGAGAAATCTACAAGTGAGAACGACATCGAGGAGAAGAGTACCGACGATGAAAATATATTTGATGCTGTGACTCAGGTTAAGATCCACGACGAAAATGCTTACAAAGGCGTGTCTCAAAACGTTAATGACGTGTTTAAGGTTTCTGCGGATGACTCTGATGAAACTAATCAAGGCGTATTTCAAAGTTACTCGTATGTCAGAAGCAAAGACACCGAGAAGTCCTCGCAAGATCAATCTGTTAGCGACGATTCGGATACCGACGAAGAGGGACAGTTCTTGAAAATAGCCTTAAGAGAAAGGCAGAAAGTTAAATCTCCCTTTGAAAGACCACAAAACGGCGATAGCGAAGCAAAAACTAATCGCAGTTCGAGCAAAGAATCGGAAGATATGTTTGATATGCTTACTCAGCATACAAATCCGGCGAACAAAAAATCGTTGATGAAAAAGAATAATGACGATGATAAATGCGAGGTGGACTTTGACGCGCCTACGCAAGTAATAGTTCAAGAAAAATCGAGAACAGATGAGGAACCCAAAGACATCGAATTAATGGAAACACAAATTCTGCCAAAAACCGAATTTCCTGTGAAAGAAGTTCCTTCCACTAGTGTAACAGAGCACAAAAAAGTTGCAATCGATCAGGATGTCACTGAAATGGAGGACGATGTAGCCACTCAAATAATCACACCACCAAAAGAGATTTCAAATGAATCTCCGACTCAATTGATTGAAAATATTATAGAAGAGTGCAGCGTTGAAGATATTGACTATGAAACGGCACCTACACAGTTAATAGTCGATACCTCGGAAGAGAAATCGAACAAAAAAAAAGTCCCGAAAAAGTCCAAAGTTCCTAATGTATCCAGCTTGGTAAATGATAGCTTGGAAAGAAATTTGAACGCGATGTTTGGCGATGTAACCGACGATTCTCTCGAAGATCAACAGCAGATATCGACTCAAGTTCTTAGAAACGTGTTGCAGTTATCTGAGTGCGAAGATGAACCACAAAACACGAAACCTACATCTAATGTAGATAGCGATTCCGCAACGAAGGACAAAGTAAAAAAATCCACCAGAAAGTCACGAAGAAAATCTCAAGCAGCAGTAAGTGGCTCGAGTTCAGCGGTCAACAAGAAAACCCGTGTATCCGCTGTAAAGGATGTAAATACTGATAGCGATTCCCAAAATACAGAAAATTATTTCTCCGTTCTTACTTCAAGGCGGAAACGTAATGTTCTAATAGATTCTCAAGACCTTGCCGAAGCAAGTGAACACAAATCTGATGACGAAGAGAAAAATGAACACAAATCTGATGACGAAGAGAAGAATGAACACAAATCTAATGACGAAGAGAAAAATGAACACAAATCTAATGATGAAGAGAAAAATGAACAAACTGCTGAATCAGAAACTATTAATATTGTGGAGGATAAAAGCAGCGTTTGCGATAATCCAAGATCCAAGTCTGAAACACCAACGCCAATGGCAGCGGAAAAGAAGAAATACGTAGAACCAAAGGTTGTTCTGGAACAAATAACGATTCCCATTGAAAAACCAAAAGTTCCAGAAGAAATGGCGGTCTCATGCGAGAAACCAATAGAAAGTTCAAAAGAAACAGAGTTGCCAAACGAAGAACCCAAAGTTGTTCCAGAAGAAGTAGCGATCCCATGCGAGAAACCAAAAGACAGTTCAGAAGAAACGGCGGTGTCAAACGAAGAACCCAAAGTTGCTTCAGAAGAAATGGCGATCCCATGCGAGAAACCAAAAGATAGTTCAGAAGAAACAGCGGTGTCAAACGAAGAACCCAAAGTTGCTTCAGAAGAAATGGCGATCCCATGCGAGAAACCAAAAGATAGTTCAGAAGAAACAGCGGTGTCAAACGAAGAACCCAAAGTTGCTTCAGAAGAAATGGCGATCCCATGCGAGAAACCAAAAGATAGTTCAGAAGAAACAGCGGTGTCAAACGAAGAACCCAAAGTTGCTTCAGAAGAAATGGCGATCCCATGCGAGAAACCAAAAGATAGTTCAGAAGAAACAGCGGTGTCAAACGAAGAACCCAAAGTTGTTCCAGAAGAAAAAGCGGCCGTAGAAGATTTATCGAACAAACCTTCCACAGAGATAAACGAGCCCATACCTAGCACATCGAATGATCTTGAAGACAAACAAAATCATTCGATGTTAGATGACGATGACGAGGACATTCTGGCCGGTTTACCTGAAGTTAGAATTTCGGGTACATTATGGAATCCACCAAGTCCATCATTGTCATCAAAATCGGAAGATATTGAGTCGACAAAGAGTAAGACTGCTGCTTCAAAAAAGAAAGGATCGACACGAAAGTCGACTCGCAAAAGAAGAGTTACTCGTAAAGTCGCTGAAAACATTGAAACTTATCTGTCCATCAACAAACCGGATCCGAATCGTTCGAAAAGTTTGTCGGATGCGGCACCTGCCGATATCGATACCGATGCGTTATCTACGGAAATTAGCGAGAAAGTAAATGAAAATCCGAAACGATCTCTGAGAAACGCGACAACCGGCAGTTCGCAATCATCCAAGGAAAGCGATTCTCTTGACGGCAAATCGACCCCTTCCGTCGATAACGTGCAAGAGCAGGCAAGACGAAGTCCTTTCGTTCAGAGCAACGGAAGAACTCGTAATTCCAGCAAAAAGGATGTTGATCGTTCGTCTATTTTTCAGGTTAGAACAGAAGCTCCGGCTGAAAATATTGAACCTGCGAAATCAAACGTAAACGCGTCTCGCACTGGAAAGAGGTCGCTTAGCACGACGGATGGAGTTGAAGATAACGCCGTTAAGAAACCTCGAGAAGAAGAAGAAAGCACGCTTAAAACTACCAGAAGTAAGAGGAGTAACTCTAAGAGCGGCAAACGGTATACTGCAAATATTATGAACCCCCTCACGCTGAAAAATTCACCGATTAATATAAAAGATCCGGATAGAACAAAATTACCTCTGGATGAGTCGAATTTAATAAATAAACAGGCGGTAATAAACATCATTAGAATATCGCCATATGATAGTGCATCGTCACTGTCTCCGAGTAGCCCAGTAGAGTTTATAGCTAAAGGCGTATCGAAAGAAGCTAAGCTTGCTGCACCTAAGGCGATACTCGGACAAAGTAGAGTATCGCCTCTTCCGAAAGTAGAACCGCGACAATCCAGAAGCCGAAAGGCAGCCAGCAAGTTCACAGTTATAGAAGAGGATGCTAGTCCTCGAGGAGCCGAATCGCAAGAGGTAGAGGAGATCATGAGCGGTTCGCTCATAGAAGAAAATATTAATACGGGTATAGATACAAGGACACCTGTTGATACGAACGAAGATGTCGACACGAACAAAAAGGGTGCTAAAACCAGGAATTCAAGAAAACGCACACGCACGAACACCCCTTCTAGTAGAGATGCCAGTGTCAGCAGTATTTCCTCTGATGTATGTGAAGCCAACGAAACCCATTTCGAAGTACCTGCCTCGAGAAGTAAACGAGCTAAAATTTCGAAGAATATTTCAAATGTTCCTGATATTACTGTAAATGAAGAACCTGTTGCGAAAGCAAGAAACAGTAGACAGTCAACGAGAGCGAAACAAGCCCAGCCACAGGTAATTCCTGAGTCTTCAGAAGAAGAACATTTGGAAAATAGTGCCGATCAAAGTAACTTGGACACTACTGTAAATACGACTAAATCTAGAAGAGGACAAAGAACGAAAGCGGGAAAAGCTGCAGCTAACAAAACGGAAGATAAAAGTATTATAGACAATAGTGTTTCTTCGGAAATTAATTCCAGCATCGATAATGCATCGATAAATTCAACTCTTAGTAGAGTAAGAAAAAGTGTGTCTTCAGCTGCATCGCCGCTTAAAACAAAACACAAAATTCTAATGACCGGTTTAGCAAATAGTGATTACAAACAGTTATTAAAAAAGCTAGGTAAATATTTATTTGTACAAAACTCGAAGTTCAATTCTATTCATTAATGTCTTTATTTGTAGGTGCATCTTCAGTGGAAAATCCAAACAACTGTACCGTATTGGTTACGGACCAAGTGCGAAGGACCGTCAAATTCTTATGTGCTTTAGCGCAGTCTATACCGATAGTTTCAGTCGATTGGTTGGTTGAAAGCGACAAAGTTGGGCATTTTGTAGAGCTGGAGAATTATATATTAAAAGACCCTGCTGCAGAAGCGAAGTTCGGTTTCAGATTGAGGGGTAGTTTGGAAAAGGCCAAGGAACATAAGCTGCTTGAGGGTTACACTATCTTGTTAACACCGAAGGTGAAACCACCTGTACCAGAATTAAAAAGTAAGTTTCTATCGTCAAAATGTTCTTGACGTTTTTATGATAAAGATTTATTGTTACAGCTATAATTACTTCATGCGGTGGTAAAGCTTTGGTGAAACCACCGCAGTCATGGCCTGAAAAAGCGTTAATTATTTCTTGCGAGGAAGATTTAATGAACGCAAAGAAACTTCTTGCAAAAGCGCCGAAAAACGTTACTGTTCAGAAAACAGAATTTATATTAACCGGCATTTTGAAGCAGGAATTGGATTTTACTGAACATAAATTAATATGATTTTTTATAAATCTCGTACATAAATCATAAATATCCTACTAAAGAGAAGTAAGGTAAATATATACGCAAATGTTTGTATATATTTCTTGAATATTTTTACATAAATGTAAAAAAAGAAGTAATAAACGTAATTAACTTTATACAGGTTCTTTTATATATTCGACATCCAACTGTACACGAAGTGTTTCTTTTAAAATAGCTGTACAATTTGAAAACAAATTTTATGTGCAAAAAATAAAAATTTTTTATTCGAAATTGGTATATAGTTTGTAGCAGATGTGGTTGAAGAGACCAGTGCATTTTGGCACATTGCCAAAACTTTGTACTCAACACAACAAACATACTCTGAATAAAATAAATTGATATTTTTTGTACTAATTATAAACTTTATTATTCATCAGGATTAAGTACATAATTAATTAAACTTAATACTTTCAACTTTTAAATAAACTTAAAAGAAACCTCGTTAAATTAAACAAAAATTAACGTATTTTGAGAAACAAATGCATTCTTCTTGCAATACTCATACTAAATGAAGTATTAGCCTCGTTAAATAAACTTTTAATGATTAAGTTGAGCAATGTTTTTATATCAATGAAATATTTTTAACTATATGCTCAATATCTACAAGGTTTTTTACATATTTTAAGTCCAATTTGAATATTAGCATATATATCCTAACATCATGAAACTACAGGCTCACTCAGGTAACTCTGTACGAAGAGTAGTCCTACCTAAATATGTAGTATTTATTTATACTATGAATTGTGATACGACTAAATGATGATTACAAGATGCAACAAACATTTATCCCAAGTTCTAATCTTATTCTAAGTGATAATCTATGTTCAGTGTGTAAATGCATTACTGAAGATAAAAGATAAAAAACTTTATGTAATATGTTCCAGTATCTTCAAGAAGAAATTGTAGTTGTCAGAGTTGATAAATATTCTTCCCGGAAGTATGGACAGGAAAACCCAAGGTCCTGAAACAATGTACACAATATGATGAAATGAAAAAAATTCTGATATCATTTTTCTATTCAAAAAAAATTCTAATTATAGACTTTAGAATAGAAAACATCTGTTCAAATATTCCGTTTTATTGTTGCCTACATTTATCGGAATATACACAAGAATTGAAAGCAACAAGTGTTTTGAGCAAGAAATGAGTCATCTGTAAAATGGTGGCGCAACGATAAAAAAAAACAATAACAATTGTACGCAATTTCTGTAACGGTACAGAATAACAATACAGAAATAGAAACAATTAGAAGACGGAAATAGAAGATGATCGATTAATGAGCAATTAAAGATACATATTCAAAAATGTAATAGCAGGCACATTAAAGATGTAAACGCGCATAAACCCGGCCAAGGTTGCGAGCCATTCCGGCTGCGTTCGAATCAATAACGTAATACAAGTAAAATAAACGTCGGAACTACGTTGTTCCATATCAAATATTCTTTACTTACAATTTATGCTTTAGCTTTCCCATTGTGTCGTTTATTGTGCTCGGAATTCATCAATTTTGTCAAGATCTTTCTAGAATGGCCGCAAGGATCGAAATGATTGGTGTGCGTAAGAGCTTCCCGTTTACTTCGTTGTTTACCACTGTGGCCGGTGAAAATATGTTTGTCGTAATCGTAGTTAAAATGCTCGTATTCGTCAACGTAGTAATCAGACATTGCTTCCGTGTCCTTAAGATTATTCATGAAGCAGCTGTATATATACACTGTCGACAAATTCGTCTCTCTTTTAGCGCTTTTGTTTCGATACTGTCCGAGTGCACCCGGCTGCACCTTCTTATATACGCCGCTCGAAAAACATTGCGCGTGCGTAGTACACAGTAATGTCACTAGTATTTTGAACACCTGATGTAAAACTTTTGTATTGTGTCGTATAATTGTTTGTTAAATAGGCGAATAAGATGAATCATTTTTCATTTGACTTTTCCAAAATAAACGCAATTTTTTTTTATTCTTGTCAGAGACGAAAATACTCAATGAAATTTCGATGAAAACGTACTACCGAGAATGTACTGGAACTGAAAATTTTCTAGAACGTCGTTCGAACGTTTTCGAAATTTAATCATATCAGCAGTAGGCACAGAAAAGTATGTAATTTATACGTTTGACAAAGGTGTTACCACGATTCTTTATGAAATATTTAGGCATTTCAGATATCAGTATGTGTCATCGCACATGTACATATTATGCAACACAACGTGAATAATTAAGATAACCTAACGTAAGTTTGTCAAATATTTACGTGCATATTTAAACGTATTGTTTATGCCGCATATAGACAGCCCTGATAGCACGATATTTTCATTTAGTAACTGCGTATATACGTTGAATAGGTTATCTCTAACTTTAAATAACTTCGTTGAAGTACATCCAATAGTTTTTTTTTTAATTACGAAGTTTTACAAACAGTATTATCGAAAAATATATTTTTCCATGACAAATAACCATCGAATTTATGTATTTTTAGGACACAACATTGTTCGTGTGTTTGTCAACAAAGTGCTACATTTACTACGCACGCGCAATCGCATCTCGAGGCAATGACTTCTAGAAGGCTCTTTACTGTTCGTCAGCAAAACGTTGGCGCATATTTTGTATCTATCGTTTGATTACGTGCAACATTGCACGCAAATCAACGCGCCAAAATACTAACATTGACCGTGGCAGAGCACTTGACACCAAACGTGTCAACTGATATCGCTCAATATAAATTTAATGCGAAGTAAACATCGAAACACGACCGAAGATGTACATAGCTAAGCTGATGAAATCCAGGTTAACCAGATTCGTATCTTTCGAATTGCACGTGTTTGTATCCAAGTACCGACATGCTCCAATTATTAATTGTCAGATGGCAATCAAGCTTCCCACGTAAAAATAAATCTAACGATACGTGTATGGCGATCGTTACTTTATTTACGCCGTGAATTTGAATCACGACATGATCGTATTACGTGTTGCACCTTGTGTCATCGATGAGCAGTCTGTGTTATAACTCTTTAATTTGTGCAATAAGACAGGAAATCATAATCCTCAGAAACAATGCATTCGGTAAATCGAAAACATAATACTCATGTTGCATTTACATTTTCAGGGAACTGTACCTGCCATCTTATGATTGTAAGAAGAACTAGTTTCCTGCAAAAGTTTACGCACCAAGTCAGAAGCAAAAATAAGTTTCAAGGAATATGTTATCTTTTGCAAAGGTTATAAGGAAACTTGGGAATACCGTCATGTTTCGATTCTGGCTAAATTTTGTATACAAGCTCCTTTTTTTCGAAAGATTTGTGAGGACGGTTTTTGACGACTCGAATTATGGAGAGATGCAGTATAGTGTGCAACCTGTTCTGAACACGTAATCTTCATCTTTGGATACATGGAATATATTGCAAGCAGTATTAAATTAATATTAATAAATATATAATGAATAGATAACATATTAATCAATAAAATTGATATTATATTGAATTTTAGGGAAATGGAACAAGTAGCGCCATCTCTCCGGCGAACATGGTGAACTACACACTTTTGAAACTGCAGTTTCATTAGTTCCTCGCGCTGCCATCAGAGGGCGTCTCATGTGCGCCCCCTAGCGGCAGAAACAAGAACTAATTAAAGTAGAGTTTCAAAAGTGTGTAGTTCACCCTGTTCATATATTTTTCCATGACAAATAACCATCGAATTTATGTATTTTTAGGACACAACATTGTTCGTGTGTTTGTCAACAAAGTGCTACATTTACTACGCACGCGCAATCGCATCTCGAGGCAATGACTTCTAGAAGGCTCTTTACTGTTCGTCAGCAAAACGTTGGCGCATATTTTGTATCTATCGTTTGATTACGTGCAACATTGCACGCAAATCAACGCGCCAAAATACTAACATTGACCGTGGCAGAGCACTTGACACCAAACGTGTCAACTGATATCGCTCAATATAAATTTAATGCGAAGTAAACATCGAAACACGACCGAAGATGTACATAGCTAAGCTGATGAAATCCAGGTTAACCAGATTCGTATCTTTCGAATTGCACGTGTTTGTATCCAAGTACCGACATGCTCCAATTATTAATTGTCAGATGGCAATCAAGCTTCCCACGTAAAAATAAATCTAACGATACGTGTATGGCGATCGTTACTTTATTTACGCCGTGAATTTGAATCACGACATGATCGTATTACGTGTTGCACCTTGTGTCATCGATGAGCAGTCTGTGTTATAACTCTTTAATTTGTGCAATAAGACAGGAAATCATAATCCTCAGAAACAATGCATTCGGTAAATCGAAAACATAATACTCATGTTGCATTTACATTTTCAGGGAACTGTACCTGCCATCTTATGATTGTAAGAAGAACTAGTTTCCTGCAAAAGTTTACGCACCAAGTCAGAAGCAAAAATAAGTTTCAAGGAATATGTTATCTTTTGCAAAGGTTATAAGGAAACTTGGGAATACCGTCATGTTTCGATTCTGGCTAAATTTTGTATACAAGCTCCTTTTTTTCGAAAGATTTGTGAGGACGGTTTTTGACGACTCGAATTATGGAGAGATGCAGTATAGTGTGCAACCTGTTCTGAACACGTAATCTTCATCTTTGGATACATGGAATATATTGCAAGCAGTATTAAATTAATATTAATAAATATATAATGAATAGATAACATATTAATCAATAAAATTGATATTATATTGAATTTTAGGGAAATGGAACAAGTAGCGCCATCTCTCCGGCGAACATGGTGAACTACACACTTTTGAAACTGCAGTTTCATTAGTTCCTCGCGCTGCCATCAGAGGGCGTCTCATGTGCGCCCCCTAGCGGCAGAAACAAGAACTAATTAAAGTAGAGTTTCAAAAGTGTGTAGTTCACCCTGTTCGCCGGAGAGATGGCGCCACTTGTCTGATTTTTAAAAAAATTCAATTAAAGTTGATTTTATTAATTAATATGCTATATATTTGTGCTATATGTTAATATATATTCATTAATATTGATTTTACGCTGTTTTGTAATGTATTCCATGGGTCCGAAAATGTAGATTATGTGTTTAGAACAATTCATATACCGAGAGGCGACGTCACATCTTCTGGCGCTAGGTGGAATATTCCTTGTGCTCGAAGTTTGTAATTTTAAACTGTTCAGATTAATTTTGTAAGTGTTTCTTTATTGCATTTGTACAACATAATTGCTTCGTTCATACAACAATTTTATGATGGCATTAAAGTGTTTTTTTAAGGTACTGGATTGGTTTATACTAATTAAAATCAAGGATAGTAACAGTCTTTCTAATAATACTTTCATCATTCTTTACTAGATGGCACTGACAAATGTAGCTAGATGGCTGGATGGTAAATGTAGTGGTTCTGGATTATTTTAAACAAGAAAGCTACGTAATTTAAAATCAAAATAAGCTATAATCGATTTTAAACACCATGAAATAAAAAAGGAACGATCATGACGATAGGAAGAGGTTTTCAAACTGGAATCATTTCTTTCACCGTTATCTGCGACAACATGAATTTCCTGCATCCAGAATGTTCACAAAAGTATTTCTAATCGATAACGGTCAAGTGTGTTCGTTCGATCGATAACACATTACGTTCATAAAACGTAATCTGCGTAACGAAGTAGATGAAAATCCAGTTAGAACACGAAAGAAACTACCAATATAATGAGATAATACGTGCAAAGTTTTTATTGATCTCCATATTCGCACAATAATTTAATGCAGAACGAACGTTTAAAACACACGAACGTCAAATATTAAAAATTGATCGAAGAGCGATGTGACATCCGCTGTTATCGTAACAACTAGATATAATGGAAGATGAGTAGCTAAAATCGATAATTCACGAGATAAACATTCAATCGAGTCCATAAACGTCTCCGCCCTTGCGAAAGTCCGCGTTCGCGTACACCGTCGTGTCATTGCCGACGAAAATCACGCACGCTGTACTACCGCGAACTCTGTACCGCGAAGTTTTATGACCGATCCTCTTCAAACCATCGATCACCTGTTTCAGCACGCCATATTCGTACGCCACCTCGGCGGGGTACAGCTGATGATGTATTCTTGGAGCGTCCACCGCTTCCTTCACCGTTTGTCCCATCCATATTATCTTGGCCGCTATCTGAAAATGTGCATCGATGAGACATCTCCAAGAGGTGATTACCCTCTGGAGAGATAAGGAATACTAACTTGAGAAACCGTCGTGGTAATCTTGGTGCCACCCGAGGCACCGATAACCATTTTCACGTTGTCGTTCGAGTCGACGAAGATGGACGGCACCATCGACGACAAAGGTCGTTTTCCAGGGGCTATGTAATTGTTCGGACTTGGAGGAATACCGAAATAACTCACTGTTGACGGTATACCGAAATCGTTCATCGCGTTGTTTAATAATATACCGGTGCTCTCGCTGACTACACCGCTTCCGAAACTGAAAAAGAAAGAATGTACCGTCTCTTTTCTTTAGCTTAATCTTATTTAGCTGATATGCTGATTGTATTTGGAACGTACTAGAAATTAATCGTGCTGGTAGCAGATACTGCGTCTCCGTTCGGTGCCAATACCGAAACATGCGCAGTTCCCTGATCTTTCGCGCTACTTAACGTAACAGACCCATAATGAGCTGGATCGTTCCACGTTTTATGATCGTCAATCTTCATTCTTGTTTCGCGAGCGTAGCTCCTCGACGTTAAGTTCTTCGTCAGCTTAAACAAAAGAATGTTTCATGAATGTTAAACAAACCATTCAATGTCAAATTCACTGTTCGGGTAATTACGTTCGAGATACGTCGATACAATGTTATTATAAAATATTAACGCGTTAATTAACGACAATAGGTATCTAACATGACCCGTAACAGTCAACGTTCATAAATTTTCCTTCGATCTCCGTGAAAGTAAAAATTGTTTACTAACTCCTTCCATGTCCACAAAATCTTTATCGGCCATATCGTTCCTCAGCGCGTAAGCGTACTTGAAGGTTTCTATCATTCGATGGTACGTGAGAGTGGTTTGGTTGTAGTTGGCTATATCGTCGGGTTTAAAATTTAATTCGTCGAAGATATTTAAAATGTACGAAAAGAGAGCTCCGCTAGCAGGCATGCCAACGGTGAAGACCTTCATTCCGTTAGAGAGATTAGTTTGAAGGGGCTCGTTCCAGGTAGTCCTGAAATAAAATAAAATATGCAACGAGTCATTTTTAACAAATGTTACCGTATACCTGTAACTGTTCAAGTCCTTCATCGTTATAATTGCTCCTTGTTCTTGCAAATCTTGCACGAGCAGCTTGCCCAAGGTGCCATTATACAGCTCCGAAGCGCCTTTCTCCGCGATCACTCGTAAAGTTTTACAAAGTACTTTCGGTTTAATGATCGTGCCTGGTTTATAGAAGTCGTTCGTTTTCGGATCGACAAACAGCTCCCTGGTAAAAAGCGTGCCTTTCAGTGCGGAATTAATCGATTAGCTTCACGAAAGTGTGGTATTTACTTCAATACGCGATCACCGTGGATACTCATTTCATTAAATCTAAAACCGTCGTGTTGTACTTTCGTCAGGTTGTATCCCTCCTCGCATAATTCGATCGTGGGTCTGAATAAGTCGGCCCATGGTAATTTACCGAAACGTTGGTGAGCCTCCCAGTATCCTGCCACTTCTCCAGGAACGGCGATAGCCAAGGGACCTAATCAAGTAGACGAATTATAACAATTCCCTTAGAAACGGAGGAAGATTGTGAATGTACCAATGAAGGAGGCCTTCTGCGGTTTTCCTTCGTACATCGTGGCATTGGCAGCTAGAGGTGCACGATCTCTCGCGGTCAAAGTGTAAGCACGCTTACTAGCCCTATCGTAAATCGTCATAAAAAATCCGCCTCCAATGCCCATGCTCTGCATATTCACCAGCCCGTTGCAGATCATTGCGGCTATTGCGGCGTCCACGGCCGAGCCATTCTTCTCTAAAATCGACCTGCAGAACAATGCTTGTAATCGATGTATTTTTCAAAATAATTTTTGCCTGAAATTACGTACTTGCCGACAACGGCACATGGAGCACCGTCCGCACAAACTGCCCCACGTTTAAAAACTCTTAGTTTACTCGCCGAAGGAGGCAACGCTGTTTCTGGGTCTGGCGGGACTTCTTCGGTTTCTTGAATTTCTACGTCTTTGTTCGATCCATAAACGGTGCATATCGCTATTATCGCTAGGATCACTGTTGCTAATACTATGCTGCCTATTATTATTGTTTTCGTGTTTATGTATGACCTGAAAGGGAAAATTAGGCGGAAGTTTAATTTTGTTAACGTTTTTAACTGTTAACAAAGTAAAGGTTTTCAATAATATTTTTTTTAAATTCCACTTGCAGTACTCTTCGTTTTTGTATAAATGATACGTCTATAAAAAAATTAGAAATTGTTAAGTATTTTTATTGAAAACGTGCATAACATAATTTTAATAACTTTTAATATTGGCGTTTATGATTTTTTATTTCAGGTACTGGTCCTGTAAATGAAACGTCGCAGTTATGCTCTGTGTAAAAAATAAATATTGACATGTGAGTTTTCCTTCGTATATCTTCATATCTTTCTGTGTATAATTCTGGTTATAAATAGTAACATATCTTCTTGTGTACAAACAGAGGATCAACATCGATTGAAGAAGAATACTAATCTCTAAGTGATAAGGCAAATACAACAGAGTTACATCAAGTGCACTTCATTTAATCTACAATTTAAGTTAAAATGCTCTTCAGACAATGGTATTATTTTTTAATTTTTATAAATGACGTATATGAAATAAACTCCTCTACTCGAAAATTTGAAAGCTAAAAAATTTGTAAATTTTCAGATCTATTTGGTCCTCCCAAATGAAAGACAAGTGGGAGAGTCCACATGTTACCCAGGGGAAGTTTACACCCAAACACGTGTCGGAAAGATGCAATACTGTTGAACGAAGGGCAAATAAAATATGTAAAATTGGTGAAATGAAAATTGGCGGCAAGCTGCGAGCAGATGGACTCACTTGTCGACTATAAGCCTTGCAAAGAATCCTCTCGTTTTTCGATGGGGCGAATAGGAGCGCAAAAGCCGAACGGTTCCGACCTCGTCCGATTCGAGGAAATTTTGTTTATCGTTGCTATAATATTGACTAACATCGTCGGCAATGGCATAGGCGGAACTGGTGCTAGACGATGGCGACGACGTCATGTTTTTTCTCTGCTACAAAAACGAGCCACGGAAAAGAAGAAACATTAACGAATTTCGTATTCAAACGATGTAACTTCAACGATAACCGTTATCAAATTGCAGTCGTCGAACGAACGGCTATCGCCACCTTTTGACGAGCCGACCAAACGCATAGGTACAGGTATATCGTACGAATTAGTTGTCGTTTTTCTCGTATGGTGGATCACTGAAAACACTCACTGTAACTGGTCGACGATTTTTCTTGCACCTATGCCGATCCCGTTTTAATGACTTACGAACCATTTCGTTCGTATTGACGATGATAATCGGTCGTCGAGAACCGTGCGAAACGTTAACCGCATCGTCCCGACATTGAACAACCAGCTGACTTCGGGCTTGCGCGTTCGTTTCATGTTCGCGCAACATTTTTCTCGATGTCACAGTCACGTGTACTCGCCACAATTTAAATAACGACATAGTAAACGATCAATGTTACTCTAGTCTTTTTAACGAGACAATTAGTAGGCTTGTCATCTTGTAGACTGACACAGGTAGCGCTGGAGTACTTTTAATAGTATCGAGGTTTTGAATATATTTTTCATTATTGATCCGATGTATCACTTTGCGTGTATGTATAACACTAATGGAAAGTACTAAAACTTTTGTAATTCATACAATTGGAGAACTTTGAAAATGAAAGTTCTATTTTGATGAGAATATAGCTGCAATTTTCTAAGAACGTTTGCACTCGTAACATTGCGTACAGAATAAAACATTGAATCGACTTGATGATCGTAGGTCAGTGTCGTTTCGTAACAGCCTGTGAGAGAAATGTGTGTGAACTGATAACGAGAACGCTTGATAAACGTCGTTCTGCTTGATCAGAAAAATAGTCTATCATTACAAAATGATTCTAGGTATTCGAATATTAGTTGAACTGGACCGGATATTCCGTGCATTCCAAATATTTGAATGTATGAGCAAAAACTTGTGTAGCGATTAATCGACAGTATCTAGTTACTGATTACGGCTAATGACTTGGCAATAAATATATGTTGTACTTATTACACTGAATATGACTTTCACTTTTCAAAAATAGTGAATCGAAGCGTACTATATACTTTGTATCGGCGTTATTCAGAAATACAGATTATTTAGGAATTTTTAAATGTACTGATGTAGAGTTGTAAGAATGTAGGTGTACGTGGATGTGGTGATCAAGTGTATCTAGTGATCCAATTGTTTAAGTATTTATTTGTTAGAATTTAGGAAAAATCTGAATGCAGGTATCTTGAGATCTACGTGTCTAGAAATTAAAGTGTCTAGGTATTTAGGTGTAACGGATCTAGATATTTAGATATCCAGGTGTTTAGTGACCTATGTGTCTAAGGATCCAGGTGCCTAGGAAATTAGTCTAAGCATCTAGGTACCTAGAGATCTAAATGTTTAAGAATCCAGACATGTAGATATCTAGGAATCTAGGTATCCATGGCCCTAGAAATCCAGAAATCTAAAGATCTAAAAACCTAAAAATCCAGGATTTCTAAAAATTAAAAATCCATTTGCCACCCACATGTGAGCAACGATTTTCGCAGATATCAATCAGAAATAAAGTTAGTACCGATTTTCGTCAAAATTAAAGCAGGAGAGTAAAAATAAATAAACGCGGAACTAGTAGATATTCATTGATAAATTTATCCGACCTTTCATGACACACCGGTATTATGACGAAACAATGAAATACACAATTAAGTGGAGTTACACATCTGGGTCATAGAACCGCGCGGGGTTCTAGTATGCATATGTATATCGGGAAGTGGCATGCAATTGTGACAATTTGTAGCGGATATTCGACAATTATCGGAACCCGCCAAGCATCGCGCAATCTGATTCGGAAAATTATGAACATGCCCAACAACGAAACGACAAGCTTCATTTGCTACACCGAAAATCGTTTACGTCAACTAGCTGTGAATAAAAAGTGTTCCACAGTGAAAGCTGTTACAATAAATCTCAATGGTTTATCGATCGTCTTACCTTCGTCGCTTTCGTGCATCTTCGATTTCCGCCAAGCTGCTCCTTCTCGTCATTTTCATCGGAGTTTTTTGTGTACTTTTCACTGAACTCAAACGGACACGTTCGATGATCAACCGACGACAAACGACCGCACAATCAGTCGTTCATATTCACGAAGAAGATAAAGACTGTAAAATTTATTTTCAACGGAAAAATATCCTGTCAAACTACGGCAATTAGAACCTTCCCGGGAATGACACGCACAACTTCGAATCTCCAACACAATATGTCTTTTATATCTCACACTATCGTGATTATCGTCGATTAGCAGCACTTCTCCGAACGTTACTCAGATCATCACCGTTACATAAAGTTATTTTCTATAAATCTTGTCCTTTCGAATGTTATATTTTATCGGTCGATGTCTGGCTGTCTTCGATAAGCAGGGATGATAAAATCCCGATGATCGAAGATCATTCGAGAAGAACCATCGAACGTGTCGTTCCAACACGAGGTTTATCGTACAGTGGTGAGACCGGATCGCAGCACGCTCGCTTCAGCTCTCGACGAAAACATCTCGAAACGTGTTTGCGAGGCTCATGGCCGAGCCAGAGAAGGGATTGTTGTTTCTTGCCGGCGCGACGAATTTAATGCCCCTTATTTAAATTCTAAACGATAGGGGACAGGATTGCGCCCGACCAGTTGACTTTTGATGCTAAAAGAAGGCCTTGTTTCGCGCCACACACGCGTGTTACTTTTTGCTCGTCGCCTTTTTTCCGCTCCAAAGATTCGACGACTGGAACCAATTCTGCCCCGTGCGACTCCCGACCCACCGATAACGCATTTGCGTTCTTACGCTCGATTTCTTGCCAACATATTTTTCTTAAATCTACCTCGCGTCAGAGGGCTTTTTAGATAAAATTATATCGCGAGCTTCGAGATATCAACCTTTAAAGTTACTGAAATCATTGCGGATCTTCTGGTCAAATATTCGGAATTTGCAAAGAGGCAAAGAATGAAGGGATCTTGTGATCAAAAGTTTGAGGTTCTGTAAAAGTTACGTGTATTAAATATTTTATAGCGTGCGAATATTTTGCGAAAACTGTCAAACTGTTCAGAGAGAAAAATGAGGTATCTACAAGATGGAGGGGTGAAAATTAATTTCGCAGGGATAAACGAGTTTTCGAAGTTAACCACGACCGGCGTGAAACGGGAGCTTCCGCTAAAACGTATTACGAGTTAGTGCAGGAGTTTGGCCATGTTGTAACGATTTGCTAAATGTTTAGTTTCATGGTCTAGTATCTTCATTGAATTATGAGATCGATCTGTAACGACATACCTCTAGAAAGGGAAAATGATTGAACTCAGAATCACTGTTTATTCTTCTCTTTTTTTAGATCATTTTTCTGTTTTATTAGCACTAACATACATTCAGACATCGTTTAGATCGCGGTTTAATATTATTAACATTAACGTGAACACACTGATAAACCTCTTCACGCCGGAATGATAAAGTAACATGTCGATGAGATCGTTTTCCTAATGTTCTAATTGACGAACCCAAAAGCTACCAGTACGTCCTCGTGGCTTTTGAACCTATATACAAACATTCGTTAAATAAAATTTGTACTCGATAACGATGTTAATTTTTGATAAAATCAGCAGGTACTATAATCGATGAGTAACGAAACGTTTCGAAAATTAGAACATTTTGCGAAGAATTTCGCAACGTGACTGTACACACTTTTGCACTCGCGCACTCATACACTCGTTCGTGTTCTACAAAAATTCAGAACATCAATTCCAATAACCACCAACATTTATATCCGTCAACTTTTTCAAATAATTGCCGCTACGATCTAAATTGCAAATTATCCGTCGGTGCAAACAGTAAGTTGGCCACAATCCACAAAACGGCTGTACAAACTTGCTAGTAAAAAGAATTCGCACGATGCTTCGTCGCTTTTTAAGTGATCAATGCGATCGATTATCGATTACGATTAATTCATCGATCGCTAATTTTCTAGTTGATTCACGAGTCAGAATTCTTTAATTCAATGCTAAAATATAGTTTCGGTCTCGTGCGACATAGAAATTTCAACGTTTCAAATATAGTTTATTTTTTAAAAAATAAAAATTAATTTTTGTTTATCAGGAAGTGAATCTAAAGAAAAGGATTAAGAATTTGTATTTGCAGCTTCGTTTTTTTAATAACCTTTTTATCAAAAGTACTGCAAATGTTTATTTTTAAGAAATAGAAATTAATTTTTGTTTATTAGGAAGTGAATTTAAAGAAAAGGATTAAGAATTTATATTTGCAACTTCGTTTTTTTGATAACCTTTATCAAAAGTACTGCAAAGTACTTTTAAAAAATAAAAATTAATTTTTATTTATCAGGAAATGAATTTAAAGAAAAGGATTAAGAATTTGTATTTGCAACTTCGTTTTTTTGATAACCTTTTTATCAAAAGTACTGCAAATGTTTATTTTTAAAAAATAAAAATTAATTTTTGTTTATCAGGAAATGAATTTAAAGAAAAGGATTAAGAATTTGTATTTGCAACTTCGTTTTTTTGATAACCTTTTTATCAAAAGTACTGCAAATGTTTACTTTTAAGAAATAAAAATTAATTTTTATTTATCAGGAAATGAATCTAAAGAAAAGGATTAAGAATTTGTATTTGCAACTTCATTTTTTTGACATCCCTTTCGACAAAAGTACTGCTATTTCTTCCGAAGCAAGAATTTTCCCTAGATTTCACGAAGGAAGTTATTTTACTATATTCCATTCCATGGACAGAGAATCGATTCTGTCAATATTTAATCCTTATGCCAATAACCGTTATACCCCATTTCCACGTTGACGCTAAATAATTTATTACGTTTGAACATTTGAAAATTCCCCGTGAATTTGACCAAACGTAATTTTTGTAAACAAAAACTTGGAACACTATCGTTAAATCTCTATGATCCACGAGTCTTAATTAGGAACATCAGCAAAGCGGGAAAGTATTGTTCGGGTATGAAATTATAAAATCGTACGAAACTTCGAACGGACACAAAGTGCCAACAATAATTTTCGAATTCCATGTCGCGCTTTCAGTTACCGAGAACTTAGTTGAGCTTTGTCCCTTTGTGGAGAAATTGGTGGGCAAACTTCCGGTCATCGAAGAAAATTATGACGAGCTTTTCTGAACTTTTCCTTGGACTTGGCTCGTACAAGGATGATTGGCCGATCAACTTTCCATGGACTTTCTCGGAGCAAGTTTTTCGCCGAGATTAACCTGCTCGTGGTGTATTAAATCAGCTTCTCGTGGCCGCTGCGGTTCTCTCGTTAACGCTGCATCGTGGTTGAGTGGAAGTATAAAAATATAATTTCAGGATATGTCGATACGTTGTAAATGATATCGAGCATAGTGGGACACTTTCGTCTTCCGAGGATCTGAAAGTCCATCCGGACCACGTTCTTCGTCTCGATCACGTAAATTATAACGGAGCGAAAGGAATAAATTAGAACGCGGGAAAAAAGAACGAGTCCATCGATCGAACTTAGGATGACGAGGTGAGAAGTGGCCTGCGTTGCGCGGTCTCCTTGCAATCCTGAGGAACGTCCGCCTTGCGAATCGTTTTCGATTTCCGCCTCAATTGCTTGCACTTTTCTTCTTCTGCCTCCTCCTCGATGTTCTCGGGATTATCCTCCTCCATGCATTTCTCCGCCATTTCCTTCGACTCGATCTCGTCCACGCTGCTCCAACTGTTGTCGCTCTCGCTACGCTCCCTTTCTTTCTTCCTGCCGTTCATTTCTTCTTTCTGCTTCTCTCGGTAACACCCGTTCTCCTGTACACATTTACACATTTTACGACTTGCACGTTCGTTATTAATACGGCTGCCTTTTTTGCGTTACAACTTTTGCAATATTTTCTTCCTACTCTTCAATTTATCGTTTGTACTTTTTTAATATCGACGTTTGTTGTTTTTATTCTTGTTTGCAATTTGTTTACCTTACAGTTAGTTTCATATCAAGTTTAAAAAATCACTTGCGTAAATTCTTTTTGTTTCGTTATATGTCTTGAGAAATTTTTCGAAAATGCATGGTTAAATCTTTAGCAATATTGCGAGACTATATCGTAATTTATAACAAATTGAAACTTGTATTAAATGCAAGTCATTTTGTGCAATCACTGTCAAGTGAATCATCGGATCCGAGTATGTAGAATCCAAGAAGGACTTCAGCTAATAACCGTTCAATTTTATCGACTAATAAGTATCAAGTGTAATTGCATTCAATGTATGACCAAGCAAATTACCTTGCAGAATCTTGAAATCTTGTACAATATTAACCATGATACTCGATATTAATCACGATATTCTTTTGATATTTCTCCAAGTATTTCAACAAGCAGTAAACAATCATTCTAAGAAGTTAAAAATGTCATGAAAAGTATACGAATTTAATAAGTAACAATATAAGTAACTTTGACAATCGTCAAATAAAGTGTCAGTGTAATTTAAACGTTATGTACTGTAAGATATGTAGTACACATGTTTTAAATGCAATACGACAATCGTCAAAGTGTTCAGTACGGTTAAAATGTTACATACTCTAAGATATGTAGTACACATGTTTTAAATACAATACGACAATCGTCAAAGTGTTCAGTACGGTTAAAACGTTATACACTATAAGATATGTAGTACACATGTTTTAAATACAATACGACAATCGTCAAAGTGTTTAGTACGATTAAAATGTTATATACTCTAAGATATGTAGTACACATGTTTTAAATACAATACGACAATCGTCAAAGTGTTCAGTACGGTTAAAATGTAATGTAAGATATGTACTATATGTAACACAATAAAAATTATGTACCATAAGTTAATAGGGGTTGACAGATAATTTTGTTGAAACTAGCTTTTGAAAATTGCAAACTCACCAGGGAAAGAGGTTTCGTAGGCATTGTCGTGGTGGTAGTAGTGGCCGTAGTGTCCGTAGTATCACTGCTTTCGCTGTTATTGCTGGGTCTAGCATTCACCAAAACTGCTCCTTCCTCTAAATTTTTTCCACGCGCGAATCTTCGCGACGCTGGCCACATATCCGACGCGTGTTTCGCATTCGCCTTGGCAAGTTTTTGAGCAACGCCCGTAGTCCATACGCTCGCCTCGCTGCTTCCGGTACTGCTATCGCTTCCGGTACTGCAATGTCGCCATCTCCGTTCTTGGGAAACCAAGGAAACGTGAGACGAATTTGTTATCGAACATCTCAAGTGTCTTTGAAATTTAAATAACCATTGCATTATTTTCTACACTTTGTTCTTGTTTTTTTATTACAAGTTATATTCGTGTATCTTAAGATTTTTTCTTTCAAACAATACTGCGTTTGATCCATACCTAAAGCCCGGGGTTGTGACTTGCAGCGTTTATTTAGTCTTTTAAGTATTGGTTCAAAATCTGTACTTAAAAGCTGGATGAAATTAAAATACTAGCATGGTCTGTATTTGTATATTTTTTTTAAGTTTGTCATTTGACAAAAAAGCCAATAACTTTGCAATTATTAGAAGCATCAGAGTACATACAGCTATAGTCTCACAGATTTAACACGTTGACCATTTTGAAGCAGTTAAAAATTCTCGAATATATTCACAACACTGTTATATTTATTATTCATAGCTTTGTTTGAAGCTTAGCAGCTAAGATGAATATTTTTGATGAAGATAGTGGACAAATTTTTAATTATACCAGTGATAGATTAGCATAAGATCATCCATGCATAGATAAAGTTACAGTCAAAGTCAAACTCAAGCTCAGAAAATAATATAGCTGATGTAAAACACTTTGCTTGGAAAAAGGTGAACGATATTTAAGAAAGTGGAAGAAAGTTGCATCGATAAAAAAATTCTCGTGGAAGCCGATAACACGTACTATCGCATGGAAGAGCGTTTGCGAGAAACGGTTTCCTCAGCAACGGACTTCCTCCGTCTTGGCTCTCCTCGCTGCACGCTCGCGTTATGAGGATCCTTGGGCTTCTCCTTGGTGTTTCGTTCATGGCTATCGAACATCCGGTGCTCGCGTCAGTGCCGATAAAATCGCTTCTGTAATGTGGACCCATCAGACTGGCTGCGCTCGCGCTCGACCTCACCAATTTGCTACTTTCACCTACGCGAACGACAAGCGAATGAAAACATTTACTAAACATTTTTTCAAAACTTATTCGAAACTAACCCGATTCGGAAGTCGGTACTCGGAGAGTATTGCACGAGGCGGCAGGCTGTAGTCTTCCTCGATGGAAACCGAGGTTGTTACTGTCGAAACTGTTTCCGGTTCTGCAGGAACCCAATGCCAATAGCGCCTCGCTGAGTCTTCGTTGTAATGGCGGGAACGGGAAGAAGGAACCTGTGCCACTTCCGGAAGGCCTTCTCGATCCGGCGGCGCTCGGTGTCCTTGCTTGGATCTCCTAAATTAAAAGCGTTCGAAGCACTTGATAATATTGGATTCTGGGAAAGGTCCACTGGACGAAAAGAGTGAAGGAGATCGAAGACTTGGCTCCGGAAATATTAATAGCGGACAATGGCTTGTTGGGATTTTCTGCAAATTCAGGATTAAAAGCCTGTTGATCTAATTAATAGGGTCATATACTTAAGAATTTTATTTATTATTTTTAATAGAGAAATATATTTAAGAATTTTATTTATTATCTTTAAGGAGTTAGGTTAGAACTTGAATATTATTTATATAATTATTTAAAAATTGACAGCGACTTCCTAGACTTGAAAAGCTATTGTTTGAACGAAAATAACATAATAAAAGTTAGTAAAATATTACGTGTTGAAGCTCCGACTTGGTCGCCTTTTTCCGCCAATAATTCTGCACGGATCTCCTCAGAGTCTGCGATTTCAAGCCGTATAGAAGCCCGTTGATGGGCGGAGAACAAGCCAGCAAAAGAGAGGCCAACGAGGCCAGTTTTGGATGATCGTAGAAATGCGGTTGATTCCCGACACCGCAAACCTCCCAAAGAATCAGACCACAGTACGGGAAATAAAGCAAATACAACGAACCGACCAGTTGCATTACCTGGAAAATCAACGTTTCACAATTAATAAATTACGTCTCCATGAAAAGTTGTTAAACTCGGAGAAAATAAATTGCTTTAACGAGACGTCGACGATTGAACGATCGTTAAGAAAGAATTAACGAGAGCAACTTCGAAATGTTCAAGGTTTGTCGTTATCGGATAAAATCCGTGAATTACATGGTAGTTAATTGAACGTAAAAGCGAAGCAAGTAAACGCCTCGCAGCGAGGTGTCCGATCGATTTGACTTGCTAATATTCTGCTGGATATTTAACTTTCGGCCGTGATTTAATGCGTTTAATTTATCGGAGCATCGTTTTCATGTACCTTTCATACAGAGTTACGAACTTTTGATTAATTCAGAATATTTGTCGCGTTTAGCACTTTTTTACGAGTGTATGTTCTACAGGTGTCTGACAGCTTTTTTAGGACAGTCAATTTGTAAATTTAATTAATTACATAGATTAAGACACGCACGAGATCTTCATGTGAATAAAATAAAAGATAAACTTTCTGCATTATATCTAAACATAAACGTCAATTTTCTATTTTCTTTTTCACCACGAAAGTCAACACGTTAATCTACCACAAAAAGTCTGAAAAATAATTGAAGAACTAAAATTAGAAGCGAATTAAAAGCGTCACAAAATGGAGTCGAAATTATCGTGTATCTTTCAGTGAAACGGAGTTCGTGGCTGCTCGTGCAAATTATGTAGCCGAAACGTATGACCGTAGGAGATAATTATGCAGAGTAAACAGAAATTACGCAGATCCAGAGAAATGTACAAACCGTGCTGGCCGCGCTGTGGAAGCGTGGCGGGCTGACAGCAGAAGGTGCCGTGACAGTCGGTACGAAAAATGGGTTCCGCTGATGGGTGATGGTCACCTGGGCGCTCAAGGTGACTTCGTAAATTGCGCTCGCGATGCGGTGACGGTGATAACGGGCTATGCCGAGCACTCGCAAATTGCACACGGTCACCAGAACGGCGGGCAATGCCAGCCCCAGGATCGCGTAAACTGCCCCGTAGAGAACGGCCGCTAAACCCCAGGAATCGTTGCCGAAATCCGGGGCGCAGCAACCTAGTCCTGGACTGTATCTATTTAAACAGATTAAATTATAGTTAAAGTCTTTTGTTCTACTTGGTTACTTGATTAATTTTGGTTAATGTTGGTTGATAATATTGGTTACATTAATTCTGAGGAAAATATGTTGCTGAAGGAGGAGGTACACTTGTCGATTTTTTACCGACATGAAGATTTGAAAATTTTGCATTAATAAAGATAATAAACAATTTTGCATTAATAAAGACTATCGAAGACTCTGAACACATGAAAATTTGAGGAATATAAAAATTCAAACGACCCAAAATAATTTGCAATAAATAAAGAAATAAAATTGCAGTGATAGAATATGTAGTCCATCGGACATAAGGTCGCCATATTTATTTTGGAGGAAACGGTTGCCAAGTGGTGGAAGCGGTGTACTTAAAGCGCAATAAAACTCGCAAGGAAATAAAAAGTGCAGTGACGCGCCAATGAACCGAAGGTTCGATGTTTTCCAACGATTTAAAACGAAGAAGAAAATCCGTGTAAACGAGGAAGAAAATAAAAGAAACGAACCTGTAAGGTGGTACGAGGCCCCAGAAAGGCAACACGCACAAAAACAGGGCGCCTGTCCAAGATGCAGCCAATCCAACTGCAACGCGTCTTGGCGAGACCAATGCAGCGTAATGCAGCGGTGCAGCGATCGCGTAATACCTGCACAAGAAATTGAAGGGAATTCAACGATTCGGTATCCATGAAAAGATTCTGAAACGACATCTAATATAACCGTCTGGAACGATTACTCTTAAATGATACTTCTGGAATCGCCGGAATGTAGCATGCACGACTGAATAATGAAAGAGGCAAACGCAAAAAAGAATGAAACGGGAGGAAAAGGTCGTGACGATGTCGAAGAGGAATGCCGGTTTAAATCCACTGACCTAGTGAATAAAATATTCCAGGCATTCGATCACCGGCCACGATATTTCCAAGTATTTTTATCCGCACCTTTCGCCCTCGTTTCGGAGCGCCAAAAACACGTGCTACTGTTGTGTTCGAAAGACGTGTGCCAGCCATTTTGTTTAGAGAGAACGTCAGTTAAGTGTCCATTATACTACGGTGTCTTTTAAGGTATTAAGTTTCAAAATTCTTTTCTTATGGATTGCTTCATGCAGTGGCTGTCAAAATTCTAATATGGCGGGTAACATGTTATCTTCTTTCATTGGGAGTTCTTTTATTGCAAACGTGCCTTTACTTTTTTATTTGTTTATTGGAAAATGTCAGGAGGATAGTTTTACTTCGTTTGCTTATTTGGCAAAACTTTTTGATGATTCATGAGTGTAAAAATTTCAGGTGGGTAATTTTATTCTGAACTATTTCGATCTCGTTTATTTCAAACATGTTACGATCGATTTCATCTGCTCTTGTCGGATTATTTGGTTAGCAAAAGCGAATCTAACGATGATAAATGCTGTCTGTTGTTTGCACAAGAAAATGGCGCCATCAGGTTTGAGGTACCCAGACTTCGTCATTGAAGGTTAGGTTAATAAAAACGCTGTCTATTGTCTGCATAAGAAAACCAGAATGGCGTCATCAGGTCTGAGGTCCTCAGACTTCGTCATTGAAGGTTAGGTTAATAAACTTGAGGCAAAAATAATTTCTCTTTTCTTCAAACCATTTTTTTTCTCAAAGAGCATCACCTTCTCGTACAATTTTATAAAAGTCCTCCCCTAATCATTTAATTATAAAAATGATAAAAGACGTTACTTTTCACTCATTTACATCTCCAAGTCAACCTCAATTTATTAAATACTTATCAGATACATAAATCGAATAAATCAAAGTGCCTGAACCGTGTCCGCAAGTTCGACTTGAAAATGACTCTGGTCGCATCTTAAAGAAAGGACTTCCTGTGACTCTCGTCGTGTTTACTCCAGCGTAGATACGAGTCACAGGAACAAGACGATCTGTCGAAAGGTTTCAGATTGAATCGAAGATCCCGTGCCGGTTGACGGCCACAGAGATACCGACTGAATACGAGGATCCGCTATTGACATCTTACATTGAGAAGCTTGTCTGCTTTGTGCCGCGTAAGGCCACGTTTCGTTGAACGTCACCGCGGTATCGAACCCCATTTTTCTACGAGATAAAGAAGTCTCATCCGTTGGAATCCTGACTTTACGACGACCCTTTTTGTATATAAATCGGCTGGTACGTGCATGTGGGATTTCATTGTGCGTATGACTAAGTAATATTAATGATGGAATCGGTTTTCTGAATCGGAGATAATTTTAAGAAAATAGGTATTCAATGTCTAAATGTATGCGTGTTAAATGTATAGTACATCAATGGATGTGTAGGAATAATTTTAAGAACTTGAGGAATGTTCGACTTTAACATCTTTTAAATTTTATAGAATTGTAATAAATAAATGTATGTATTGGTAGAATAAGAAAACTTCAACATCTGTTAGAAACGTTTAAAAACAAAGAGTTTGTCATTAGAAACAAATACTTCGTTCTTAAAATTTTTTTAAGAATCTTGACAGTCTCGTGTTGACAATATTTCAGTATCATTAATAAATAAAATTTATTGTCTCAATACTAAACAATATTGTCTCACTAAAAACGTCTCAGTACTGTCAATAGTAAGAGCTCTACACCACTGTATTTCAGTATCATTTAAAAGAAAGAAAATTAAAAGAGAAGTGAATGGTATGGCTTGCAAGTCCAGTCCTCCTCATGCGGGTCAAGGATTAAATCAATATAATTTCTATAATACTGTTATCTCAAAAAAGTAGAAACTCACCTGTCACAATTTAATCCAGTAACAGTCCAAAGAGCGACCGGATGTAAAAGAGCCAAAAGGAAGCCGTGAAGAACGCACCAGGTGCCGGCGATTGGCCAGGAACCAGTAGTAAAGATCAGTAATATCAGACACACAGCTGCCTCCACAGCGCCCAAGTGTATCAACAATAAAGTATTTGCGGTCTGTTGCTGCTGCGTCTGTGGACATCGGGTTGATACACGGTTAACTCGTTAAATCAACTTTTTCTTCCTTGTGATCAAAAGTTCCTCTGTATACCGTGCAATCTTAATTTCCAGCTGGAATCTTGTAATTTAAACTTTTCGTCGTTTGCACGCGAACCCTGCGCCACCCTCTTAAACGTTCCCTCGTTGCAGACTATTTCACACCGTGTACTAGCAGATATTTGTATCGTGCATTGTTGATTTTTGTTTGGAAGTTGATATTTGTTTGGAAGAAGCAAACTTTGTGGTGGTATGAGTAAGATTTATGCATAGTTGGGATTTAGTGTGTTAGTTATATGTATTGTATTTCTACGCTTTAGGTCGCCATATGTGAGATTTCTGCACGCGTTAGATTCTCATATGTGAGAATTCCATGTGTTGTGTTACCTCGCGTTAGATCGCCACTTGTGAGACTTTCACGCGTTGTATTACAACACGTTAGAGTGCTACGCGTGAGATTTCCACGCATGAGATTACCATATGTGAGATTTCCACGCGTTGAATTACGATGTGTTAGATCACTACATATGAGATTTCTACGCGTTGGATTTCCACACGTGAAATTTCCACGCATGAAATTTCCACGCATGAGATCGCCATATGTGAGGTTTCCACGCGTTGCATTACGACGTGTTAGATCACCGCATATGAGACTTCCACACATTGAATCTCCACACGTAAGAATTCCACGCGTGAAATTTCCACGCGTGAGATTGCCATATGTGAGATTTCCACGCGTTGCATTACGACGTGTTAGATCACCGCATATGAGACTTCCACACATTGAATCTCCACACGTGAGAATTCCACACGTGAAATTTCCACGCATGAGATTGCCATATGTGAGATTTCCACGCGTTGCATTACGACATGTTAGATCACCACACATGAGATTTCTACACGTTGAATCTCCACGCGTGAAATTTCCACGCATGAGATCGCCATATGTGAGATTTCCACGCGTTGGATTACGACATGTTAGATCACCACACATGAGATTATCACGCGTTGGTTCTCCACATGTGACATTACCGCGCGTTAGATTGGTACACGTATGAGATCTCCACACATGACGTTTCCACGCTTTGTGTTACTACACGTTACATCCCCACATATGAGATTCCACGCTTTACATCACTACACGTTAGATCTCCACACGTAAGACTTCCACGCATCGTATTTCCACATGTGAGGTCGTCACATGTGAAATTTCTATACGTCAGAATTTCATGTACTACATTTCTAAGTACATGAAATTATTTTATGTGTTATGTGTAAGATTGTCATGTGTGTAACACAGTTTCACTATAATATTTATTTGATATGTGCAACAGAGTAATTCTAATATAATAATTATTCACTTGTGTCCAACAGTAAAATTTTAATATAATAACGATTTTGCATGTTCACCAGACTATTCCATCCAACAGCACAATTAGAGATTAACATAAAACAATACTCGTAAAATGCACCGATGCATTTCAGTAAATTTTTATCGAACTCCCATTAAACTTGCCCTCGATAAAAGATATCCTTTCAAGCTCTAGAAGTGTTTTATTCGACCCCATAAAAAGAGGGTGGTATCGCGTGTACGTTTACGGGAAACAATACAGGAAATCTGAAGACCGGTTTCGCAAAGGCTACGGAAAACGTTTCGAGCGACCTAGTTCGCCGCCTGTCATTCAGTGTCTAACTTTTCGATATAACATCGAAAAGAACGCGATCATTTCTAACTGTCGATGGCTCGCCTTCTTCAAATTGCCCCGGTCACTGCGAACGGCACCGAAAATCCGCCATTTGCAAAATAACCTTTCCTTTCTGCAAAGAGAGTTACTTGAAAGGAAATCGTTTTTAAAGGCAGGATTACGGCCGTAGGAAAAATCGTGTCGAAATCCGATGTTCTGTATTAATTTTTTTTGGAACGAGATTGCTTGAAAAGAACCTTGGAGCAAGGGGAAAATTCGTCGTGAAAAGATTAAGACTGAAAATGGGGTGAGTAATTGGATTCTATTGAACCTATATGGAACCGTTTCTCGAATCCTGCAAATCTTCGAGGATTACTATTTTTCTGGAACCAACTTGGTATACTAATCTCCGCTTGCCTTTTCAGGGGCTTTAGACCTTGCGCTAGTTTGACGAGTGACGCACTTCGAGATATGTTTTAATTTGGAGTTCAAGTTTAATTAATATTGTAGTGATTTAGTGTTGTAGTGATGGGTTTGAATATTGTAGTGATGGGTTGGACCTGACGCACTTTGTGATCAGTGTTGTAATGCACTTCGAGATGTGCTTTATTTTGGAGTTCAAGTTTAATTAATATTGTAGTGATTTAGTGTTGTAGTGATGGGTTTGAATGTTGTAGTGATGGGTTAGACATGACGCACATGGTGAGTCATAGTACAAGGGGTTGAAATTTCTGAAATTTCTATATCTGCAAATCCAAATACCCCAAATTTCCTAGCTTCCAAATTCCCAAGCACCCAAATTCTAAAATCCCCAAATTCCCAAGGTTCCAAATTCCCAAGCACCCAAAATCCCAAGCTTTCAAATTCCCAAGCACTCAAATTCTAATATCCCTAAATTCCCAAGCTTCCAAATTCCCAAGCACCCAAAATCCCAAGCACCCAAATTCCCAAGCTTCCAAATTTCCAAGTACCCAAACTCCCAAGCACCCAAATTCTAAAATCCCCAAATTCCCAAGGTTCCAAATTCCCAAGCACCCAAAATCCCAAGCTTTCAAATTCCCAAGCACTCAAATTCTAATATCCCCAAATTCCCAAGCACCCAAATTCCCAAGCACCCAAATTCCCAAGCACCCAAATTCCCAAGCTTCCAAATTTCCAAGTACCCAAACTCCCAAGCACCCAAATTCTAAAATCCCTAAATTCCCAAGCTTCCAAATTCCCAAGCACCCAAATTCCCAAGCACCCAAATTCCCAAGCACCCAAAATCCCAAGTTTCCAAATTCCCAAGCACTCAAATTCTAATATCCCTAAATTCCCAAGCTTGCAAATTCCCAAGCACCCAAATTCCCAAGCACCCAAAATCCCAAAATCCCCAAATCACCATATCTCCCATATTCCCTCAACCCCACATCCCCCATCCCCTAAATCCCCACATCTCAATTTCCCAAATCTCCAACCATCCAAATCCTAAAATTCTCAAACTCTCTTATCGCCAAATTTCTACCCACTTCAACATAACGCCCACAATTCAATCACATCTCATATTTTTCCCCATACTCCATAATCAAATACCCGAACGATTGACTTCATTTGCAATTAATCACGCGAACTCGAGCGCACATGAGGTACCTATAACAATGCTAATTCCTAAACCAAGCAAGATGCATCCGAAGGTAGATAACGCGTAATCAATTCGACCAGAGTAAGCATGTATTCCCAACTGGTATTGCAATTGCTTCGATTGTGTTTGGAGAAGTGTTCAGTTCATTAGCGAATCCGTTTTCTTTGTGAAATCGAAGAGAAACTCATCGGTTTTCTCTGTGTAATTTCATCGCTTATCGTCGTGGCTGAATAATGAATTTTCGGTGTCGATTTAGCTCGTGTCTTTCGTCTATCGACGTACATTCAATGTTCCTCTGTCATCGATAATACGACTATCGCGGAGGACCAATAGCCTATTGAATAATTCGTGCAATGTCGGTGTATTGTCTGTGGACGGACGTGCTCCAGTAACTTGATATGTTTGCGCAGATTTTGGAACTTTGGGATTTAGGGACTTTCTGTAAGTAGTTTCTTATTTTCTTTTTTGGTGCAGACACTGTGACATTTTATGAGGCATAGAAATTTTGGAATTTAGACTTGGTGATTTATAAATTTAGGATCAGAGGAATTTGGGAATGTAGCATGAAGATTGGATCTGGTTTAAATTTGAATGTTTAAAAATTGTAAAACCCAAGAATTCAGTGATCTAAGGATTTGACAGTCTAAAAATGTGAAAGTTGAAAAACTCAGTAACATAAAAATCATAAAACAAATTTGAAAATACAAAAATAGAAAACTTCTCTACATTCAACTCTCTACATTTCAAGATCAAATTCACGTGTACGTAAATCAAAGGTCCCCACTGCACCGTAGTGTAAAATTGAAGAAAATAATCACCTGTTTGCTCAATCCAAGAACGACGAGTAGAACGTAACCGTTGAGAAGAAGACCCAGAGCAGAAACAAGGACGAGAGGCACGCCGAAGGCCCAAGGGACCATTCCTCTTCCTCCCGCGTGTTTATCTCGCCTTCGAAGATTTCGGCTCCGAGGAGGATTGTTGGTTCTCCGAGGCTGTGGCTCATGTATCGATCCTCTGCCACGCGATCCACGACGTCATGATGGCGGACTCGCCTGAAACATCTGCCGCGACCGTCTCGTGTCGATCAATCCTTCGAAATAACCGAACTAAATCGCGTTAATGTCACCCGCAACTCGTGCCGGCTTCAAACTTGTACTACTATGATTCGGTTAGTGCGCTCGCGGTTAATTTCGTTAGCGTTAATTTCGCGGGAAAAGAGGTGACATTATACTAATAGTATCTTTCAGAACTGAATAATGTTGTATATTTAAAAAGACGTACACATACACTACCCTCCATAAGTATCCGACACTTGGTTTCGTTACATAAAACATAGTTGAACTTTGTACGAAAGGTATTTAGGGTTATCATATCATTTGTAATAATTATTATTATCTTTCTTGAGGTGTCATAACGTAATAGAATTAATTTTTAAGTACAAATTATACAATGAAAGTGTGAAAGTAAAATTCATGTCCAGAAGTACAAAGTCCAAATTTGTGAATCTAATGAAACGCTTTCGATTCGAAAAAAATTTTAATTTCTACTGTGTTTCATTTCTATGGTGCAGAACGTATTCAGAGGGTTCTTCGGTATGTTTCAAGTGTTTGTAAACTGTTGGTAGATGTTTAGGTTCCCTCAATGGAGATAAGAATGGAGGTAACGCTACGCACTCGACAGTTTCGGTTTAGTTCGTCTGTAGCTTCTTTTCCATCGAGATACGAGTTCCAAACGAGAATTATCAATCGAAAAACGTTCCAGTATTCTGACCTTCGCAGAAAAAAAATCGATTTTAGTTACTGTTATAGATACTTGAATAACTTTCACGCAACGCGAATGCATATTTCGCTGGTGTCCAAATACTTATGGACGGTAGTGTAATTTCTATTTAATACTCGCTATAATATTACCTGAATTCCATCTAATTTTTGTCAGAAAGATAACTCTCCCGAATTTTTTCCAGAATTATCTATAATTTTCGAGAAAAAGAATATTATTACAAAATGTACTAAATTGCCATAGTATCAAATTACATATTAATCCCAAAGATTAATCCCGAAGATTTAGAGTGAAATTTTATAACAAAAACCTGTTGAAAGCGTTAATAAAGAAGCAATTCACATTCAGGGCAACACCGCAATTAAACTTTTCTTATACGTCGGTAATTACTACGGCCGTTAGAATAAGTGGTATATGTAAAAGTGGTTGGTAAATCGTGTCTAGACGTGTATACAGCTTTAAGCGCTTCAATAAAATACGTCTGGTTTCGGAACACGTGGTAAAAGCGGGCAAACAGAAAGGTAGACGGGATAGGCCGATAAGTAAATGACTTTATTGGAGAGCAATGTTGTAAGCCAATTGCAGCAATTTGCTAAAATACTCGACGCTGCAACGTTGTGTATATATGATGTGATATATGTATATATGTTTATACATGTATTACGTCGTGTGTACACATATGTATACGTCTTTTTTATTAATTAATTATATCATACACATCATGCACATATGTTACACCCCCATTTTCTTAAACACTTATATCACCCCATTTTCAACTTCTGTTCCACCGCGAATCAAAGATCAAGGACGACCTAAATATTGCATAATCCCGTATTTTGTATTCAATTGAATTTCTAAGGGCGCAGAAAATCGAAGGAAAATGTGTTTCGTACTTGAGCTCCCATGAAATATCGAAATACATTTTCCGAACGATTGAATTTTTAAACTTCATCTTGGAATGGTCTCCGAGGACAGAAGAAGACAATAACCGAAGAGAAAAGAATAATACCTCTTTTCGATGTGGAATCTCGAGGGACGGCGATCATTGTTTTCAATAAATTTACCGAACTCTCTTCCTTTTTGCCATAAGTTTCGCAATCTAAACTTCCGTTTGAAACGATACTCATCCCGATGATTTTTGACCGCCCATTAGAGTAATTTGAATCGTACAGCGGTGAATTATTAACTCGATTTGGTATGTAATATTGTAACGTTGATCGAAGGCAAATTGCCGCTAGATTCATTTCTGTTACGACTAATGTATTATTCAATATATCTCTGTGGTAATCGGCCTCGTTAATTGACATATTCGGTGGTGACTCGAAGACCTCGCCTCATAACCGATAACCTTTCGTGTCCTGATGGAACAGCCTTGACCAAACCGATGTCTCGTTTATGAATCGATATCACGAACGGAATGGTAAAAAGTTCGTAAAACTACTCGTGAAAAAAGATTTTTCGCCAACAAACTCTATTTACTTGTCAAAATTACTTCGTTACATTTATTTATTTATGGAGTACTAAGGAAAGTGCATATATAGGTCCGTGTAATTTTTTTGATTATATCATACACATGTGGAGGTAAAATGAGCTAATATAAGAATTTAAGAACCGCAGTAGAAATGGTCGAATATAGTCAGACATGTAAAGTTAATAATGTTTGACTTTACCCCTAAATTTCTACGTCCATAAATCTCTATATCCTCAAAATTTTTGCATCCCCAAATTTCTACTTCCTTAAATCTCTACGTCCTCGGAGTCTTTACATCCCTAAATTTCTACGCCCCTAAATCCCTATGTCCCTAAATTGCTTCATCCCCAAATTCCTACGTCCCCAAATTCCTATGTCTCCAAATTTCTACGTCCCCAAATTTCTACGCCCCCAAGTCACTACGTCCCTAAATTGCTACGTCCCCAAATTTTTACGTCCCCAAATTCCTACGTTTCCAAATTTCTACGTCCCCAAATTCCTACGTCCCTAAATTTGTAGGCACCCCGACTCCCCACGTCCCCAAATTCCTACCTCCCAAATTTCTACGCCTCCGAATTACTAGGCACCCCAAATTCCTACGTCCCCAAATTTCTACGTGCCCGAATTACTAGGCACCCCCAATTTCTACGTCCCCAAATTCCTACGTCTCCAAATTTCTACGTGCCCGAATTACTAGGCACCCCCAATTCCTACGTCTCCAAATTCCTACGTCCCCAAGTCCCTACGTCCCCAAATTCCTACGTCCCCAAATTCCTACATCCCCAAATTTCTACGTCCCCAAGTCCCTACGTCCCTAAATTGTTACATCCCCAAATTCCTACATCCCCAAACCTCCACGTCCTGAAAATCCTCACGTCCCAAAATTCCACCTTCCCCAAATCATCACATCCTAACTTCTTATATCCCCAAATCCATAGATCCCCAAATACTCTCCCTCCAAATTCTCCAACCCCCAAATCTTCTTCTCACATTTGCACATTTTCCCCAAGAAAAGTCCTCCAACCACGTCCTCGTACACCACCGCTCTCAATTCGCAAATCAGAAAATTATTCGAAATACGTGTACGAGTAAACGTATTAACGCAGCAATTAAGCAAGAACTTGAGGTACATTAGCGAACAGGAGAGTCGAGAAGCCGGAGCGGTACAAGGTTAGAAAGTAAAGTAACTACGGGTGGGAATGAAGCGAAATTCGGTCGAATAATAGGTATAATGATATGCCCCCTATGAATATTGTTTTACGGATCACGAGCAGTTAGTCGACAGCGTAATTCGGTTATTCTGCCATTCGGGAGGTTCCATTATCGACCATTAGCCTGCTTCAACCATTATTGCCGAGATGACTCGCAACCCCTGCGAACAATCGTTTAGAGTTCCTTGTTTCAAAAACCCTGCTAACTCCAATTACCCTGCGACGTAGACGCAACACATTCACTGTGGTGATCACGATCGAACAAATCGGATAACTTATATATTTACTTCTCGTTAAATATCAAATATTTCATCTTCTACATCTTTTTCATCTTCTTCTTCATTTTCTACATTTTTTACACATTTCTTAAGTTCTTAAAGTGAGTACTTAAAATTGTATTCTTACTTAAAAATGTCTGAAGAAGGATCATAATTTTTGTACGAACAAAGGAGAACTATTTACAAGTTCATTTCGGTGTAAATAATTTAAAAGACAGACGAGTTTCACGTCTATTTATATTCGTCCTTAATCCATACAGAACTCGTTTTTAATCATGGCATTAAAAACTCGTTAATGCATGCAAACGTTCGCAGAAAAAAATGTTCACGAAATTGTGAACGACTGATTTGCACGAAAATCCATGTGAATTCGATGAGTCACGCGATGTCCAGCTGTCCTCGCAAATTATTAAGATAGAGAAAAGGTGCGTACAGTGAGTCAGCGAAATGTTAGAGATTTTTTCCACGGGACCTGCGAATTCTCCTCGTTAGGCGAAATTAATTTCGGCGTGTTCAAACGGGGTCGCGTGTTTTTCGATTAAATAACCGCTGCTTCCGAGTCGGCGTTTTAAAACGGAACGATAGGACGTTTCGCGAGATTGCCCGCACTCTGTTCTCTTTGCAAATTTTCTCGGTCGAGGTAAATTAAAGGAATGCGATTTCCATAAAATTAACTGTGTATACGGTATGCAAAGCACTTGGCGCTGAAAGCGAACGTTCTGCTCGTTCCATTGACGAAAACTCGTTAATGCCTTTTCGCGCGGTATAAATATCTTGTCGAGCATCAACGTTCGAAGAAAACGGAGTCTAAGTGATGCTTTATTGGATCTCTTTCGACCACAAATTTACGGAACCTTCGTTTGAGAGGTTTAGGGTTTCAATTTTTATATTCTTACATAATTTCTATTGTTTTTATTCTGATTATTTTCATTTATGTCTGTTATATGTGTAAAATTACAGTAAAATTGGTTTCAATTTATAAATGAAACTATAAATTGAATTCACTGAGCGTTGCCAAGATGGCGACTTTGATTATAGAATTTACGGAGAAATAAGTTTGGTTAAATAATTACAGTTCGAGAAGTACAATGAAACTAATTATAATGCGACATATATTCTCCGAAGTGAATTTACAGATAACGACATAAAAACTTGAGTTACTTGTACAACAAGCTGTGGAGAAGATCTTAAAAATGGCAAGCGGTAACTGGTTCCAGCGCCGCCATTTTGTTTACACATAACCGCGCAACTTCTCTTACGTGTCTCTTTTTGTTTTCTTTTTACGAATAACATTGAAAGTTATACATGTGTTTTATGTCTTA